CAACCTGGGTGAGCGCGATCGCATGGGCCTTGTTACTTTCGGCTCCAGCGGTGGTGGTGTCCCCATTGTTGGCATGACTGGCAAGGCTTGGAGGGACTGGCCCAAAGTGCTTGACTCCATACGTCCTGTAGGACAGAAGAGCCTGCGTGCCGACGTGGTCGATGGAGCAAACGTAGCCATGGACTTGCTCATGCAGCGCAAGTCCAGTAACCCCCTCTCTAGCATCTTGCTTATCAGCGATTCTTCCACTTCCGATGCCGAGAGCGTTGATTTTGTCATCTCTCGCGCAGAGGCTGCCAAGTAAGCACTTCGATAACATCAGACACATGATCACCACTAACGCTCATCTAGGGTTTCTATTCATTCGTTTGGTCTTGGGCTTACACATAAACCGGACACCATGATTGAACTTTCTACGCGAACCAAGGCTTCGTATACATACGTGAAAGACTGGATGATGCTTCGCGAGTGTGCCGCGGGGTGCCTTGGTTCACTCCAAACTACCTCGCATCAAAACGTAAAACTAAAATTGCGACTACCAGAAGGCTCTCCTGCCAAGTTTGTTAAGATTAGTGGTGCGCTACAGATCACCAAACGAGCTACTGGACGTGACGCTGAAGCAGCACTGGGCGACTTGCGTTTTGGCGACAAGCGAGACATCTTAGTCCAACTAGCCATTGCACCGGATACTGGCTCCCCAGAACAGCTTCCTCAGGACCCTTGGGAGTCGATCGTGTCTGGTCTGGAGGCTCTCGGTGGGCCACTCGATCAGGACGAGTCACGCACGCTCAGCGTCGAGGAAGTACCTCTGATCCAGGCAGACCTCACGTACGGCGATATCCTAAGAGAAGGATCTCTTTCACACCTGCCACGGCCATCATTACTGGCCATTACTCTGCTACCTTCCGGGCCAAAGAAGAGCCCAACAGGAAGACCACCAACACCTCCTATCCCACCACACCCTCATGTTGTACAGCGACGCATGGAGTTGCTCACATCAGACATGCTTACACGCGCATTGACGCTTGTTTCGCGCGGCCAACACGAACGCGCACACCACCTCCTTAAGGAAACACGCAGTATCCTGAAAGGACTTGGCAAGGGAGGTCTTCCACCACTACCTCCTCCTGGCCACCGACGTAACGAACCATCAAGTGCAGCAGGCAGCACTGGGTCCGCGTCACCAACAACTCATAGCGCTAGTGGCGATTTACGTGCACGAACGCCCTCTCCCCACGCAGATAGCCCGTTCACTCCTGCGGCAGGCATTGACGTCAGGACTATGTATGCTCTTGACGCAGAACTTGAGTCCAGCCTCGAATGGATCAACCATCCTGCGGTCTTCGGCAGAGATTCGCGCAAAGCAGTACTACAAGCAATAGGTGTCATCTCATCACAGCGCGCATACACATTCAGATCGCCATCCGAATCGCTTTGGGCAGAGCGCATTGCAGGCGTCAAGCGCCTGTCTGAGCGTGCGCGCGACTGGCGCGAAACCGGCGACCAGGAAGCATTGATGGAGGAGAACTAATTTCGCACACGACCCTTCGAAGTCTTCGCATTTGCTTGCATATACCCTGTATCATACCGCATCCTTCTTTGGTATTATCTTTCCTTGCTTCTCTTCACGGCCACACTGTTCTTCGGCGATTTCATCACTAGGGCTACTTCTGGACTCTTCCCACTTTGGGCGGCTTCTTTCACTTTACATATCTTCTTGGGTTTATGATACCAAAACGGTCTACACTTTCTTGTGTTACGCGGATTCCCCTTGGCTTGCAAAAGTAGGAACTGGGGCGTCGCCATCATCACATCTATGCTTTAGAGGATACCACAGCTGCTTAGCGATTGATTAGCTACACCCACTTAGATGCACGAATATCACATCCTTGCCATACTTAGTACTGCATCTTTACGCTACTCGAACAGACCAGCACGTTTACGCATGTTCAATAGCTCCACTCGGATACAAGCATCCGCATTTATGCTTGCCCTGAACCTGATAACCGTCATGTGCATCTTTCAACAAGCGGACTATTGTACATCTCCACTTGCACTTAGTTAAGGCTGTCTTGGAACTCCACTACGGTGAATTCCGCTAGAGGACGCCATCGGTACGAGCCAAAGCCGGCAGAGCTACTACTTCGGTGTGTTCGGCGCATTACCCCTCACCTTAACGCTGCACCATTATACGTCTATAAGGCTACCACTATACATTCATACACGCATAGTTCATCTCAGCATGCAAGGGGTTTTATCGTCGATTTGTGCACATGTGTATATGTAACTGCAAGAGCACTTTTCCTTCACACAACCTTGAGTACTCGGACCGAGGAGTGATTGGCAGTGCTAGCTGCCTCTGTTTCAGACGACCAACAATACATGAAACCCCCCCACCAACTGTTCACCTATGCATCGGGTGCAACTGGTTTTGTGTCACTCGGAGTGAGAGTAGTACTACCACATAATCAAAAGTAATATCGAGACCTGCATCTCCGGGATGAGCGCAGTTCGCCCAGCACTCAGAGCCGGCGATTACTGCCTGCGGCAACGCACCTTGAACACGCACGTTTCGTGCTTTGCGCCATGAGCTGAATGGTCTGCAAACATGTACATACAGATTCCCGAGACGCTTTGCAGAGTGCAGGCTTCCAGCATTGTGGGCTGTACCTGACATGTAACGGCTTCCGCCAACATACGCTTGCCGCACCTGCCATCCGTTACAGAGGCCTGTTGACGTCAAGTGTAGAAACAAGTTCTGCACCAACAAGTAACCCACTGTCTAGATGTCCCACTTATCCCTTTCAAAAGATGACCCATCGCATACTCCTCCCCACACGGCACATGTTGAGTGAAGCAAACAGCAAGGCGGTACTGCCGAGATGACCAGGATGCGAAACGTCTCCATCCCGTCTCCTGCCCAACAGCAGAATGAGTCCCTTAGGCGTGAGCACAATGCAGTGCGACACGAAGACAACCGCGCATACTTCAATATATTGAGTCTTATTCTAGCACTGGATCGCCAAACGTATGTCCAAGCGGCGACCCATGGGTCACGGAAATACGCAGGAACGGGTCGCAGCTGGAGGGGGCGGCATAGACGAATGCAGTGGAGACGTCTGGCTACATACCGCATGTCGCTGCAGATACAGATACAGATCAGATGTAGATGCAGATGCAGATGCACTTGAAGAAGGATAGGCCCGGCCTACGCCTTGCTTTTCACATCTTGTTCCGCTGCCAGGACTCGTTGACTACATGGAGTACCCACGGCGCACATCAGGTCGAGAAGCAAGAAAAGCAAATATCAGTACCAAGTCCATGGATCCAGATCTGGACCCAACAAGCCAATGAACCCTCATCCCCGATGATAATACGTATCAATGTCAAACGGGAATCACCCCGACGTCGTTCCTCAACCCATGTTTGATCGCTCGTCACGTTGCACACGGGAATCACTGTCTCAACTTTGTCGCGATCGCGGCGCCGGCCGTTGGTGACTCGTCAAACTTTCCCCCCTGTTCACGAATGCCCAACTTTTGCAAGCCCTTCGCATCTCGACGCACGTGCGTTAGTCGAGACCCTAGTATGGTGTCGGTGGACGGTGGACCAGAGGCATTTCCTTTGCGAGGCGAGCGGGCGGGATTTCGGTTCGATCCCTCAGCCACCTGACATCTACAGGGGTTTATCATACCTTACCCAACGGCTATTCCAGTGTAATTGCGCCAACCACCTTCTTCACTGGAAAGTACCATCTCTTGACATGGATGTTAGGCGAGTTTCAAGTTCCAAGGTGCGTCGACGGTTGGGCTTTTCATTTTCCGGCGCCAGCCATGCAGGGAAAAGAAAACGTTGGTTACGTAGAAGTATCGTAACGGGCTCATCGACACCGTTCCTTGTTTGACTGTAACTGTTCATAGCTGATCATGCAGATTTGCCCTGCCATTGCCGAGATGATTGCTTTTCCTCTCCACTTCCCTCCGAGGATCACCAGTTTTTGCACTTTCCTTCTTCATGGTCATACACCGAAGCGCATCACCGCTGCCGATCAGGCTTGCCACGCTATTGTGGGTTGCATGCAGCGGGCGTCAAACTAGATCCATGGTTCTCCCGCGGGTCTTGCGTCGTGACAATGCCGTCCAAAAGCAATCTTTCGAACCTGCGGACCAATTTTACGAGTGTGGTATGACAGCCGTTTTGCCGTGGGCTAAGTCCAAGTGCCAGATGTGGAGAGGGGTATCATTCCGTGACCCGCGCAAAAAGCAAACACCAAGAGCCGAAATAAGCGGGGTACAGCTGGAATCTGTGTTGGGATGCGTCATAGCCGAAGATAAAAAGCATCGCATCGCGTGTGTGTAAGAACTCAACATCCCCGCTCCCTACCACACTGATATGCACAAACATACACGTTCGGTGATGGGTGCGTAGAAAAGAAAACAATTCAACATCTGCGCATCATGCTTCGTCCGTATCCAGAATAGACTCACACGCCAGCTTTGCGTCGCCGGAGATGTTCGTTCGTGGTGGGTATGATACAATCTTGCCGCTCGCCTTGCCATCAGATGTGACTATCTTCATGCGTCTCCTCTTTGTTTATTCTTACATCACCTCTGCCTCTGAAAGCGGATATGTTGAGATGCTACAGTCCGATATGCGAAGCGAAACGAAACTCATTAGGTATCATAGACATCCCTTTTGGAGTTACTACGCTGTCACAGGCTTCCATGCTCGTGTTTCTTATGCCGTACCGTGGTATTGCTTATGCTATGTAAATATAGTATAATCTCAAAGTTGCAATACGTTTCTTTAGTATGGTAGATCTTGCGAGTAGGCTTCGTAGATTCCTTTAAACGGTATCACATTACCACAAAGAATACCGTGGTTCCGTTGGCATTTCAACATGACAATCGAGAGTACATCTAGGAAAACTGATGCCATGTGGTTGAATTGCGCCCCAATTTAGAATAGTAGAGACCATCAACTAGCTTCCACAACTATCTTTACTTGCCATACTTCTTCACGAACGCAATAACATGCTCATTGACTTCCTTCGGATTCGACGCACTCAAGAAGTGCTGTCCACCCTCAATAACCTCCAACTTGGCATCAGGCGAGTTGGTAAAGAGTTTAATCTCTTCTTTGGCATTTGCGACCGAGTAAACAGCATCGCTAGTTCCCTATGTTGATCGTCAGTTCAACCTTTGCCATAAGAGGCCACTGTTATAATGCACTTACATGCAACCACAACACCGGACAAACCACATCACTCAACCTCAAATGCAAACCGTCCCGATCTCTCAGATTAATCGCACACATCCTAATCCTCCGCCGACCTTCATCCCCCTGGTAGTTCTTCTTAATCTCATCATTCCAAAACTTTCGAACATCTTCTGGGCATTCCTCTTTTCCAAAGCCCACATCGATGAGGAAGTTGCAGAAATCGGTACTAGGAGTGAAGTCGGGTGTGGGCTTGTTGGATGTGGTGCCGAACTCGCCAGTGATGCGCTCGGCGAGGGGCTCGACGGAGTGCCAGCAGCCTAGGTCGCGAGAGCGGGGTGACTCATAGTCTAGGGATGTTCCTAGGGGGACAATGCCGAGGATCTTCGACTCCGTGTTAGTTATTCTAGTGCAAGAAACTGGAGCACTGTACTGGCAAGGCACACGGGCTTATTCTCCCAAGATGCTGCTACAAAACAAAAGACGACGTACCTTCTCAGGCGCCAAAAGCGCCATCCTCACGGTCACCCATCCTCCCTGGCTCGTACCAAGTACAAAAGCTTTCTTAATTCCCAACTTCTCCATGACCTGTAGATTCATAATCGCAGTATCCCAGTACGTCCAATTCTCACTCTTGGCGCGTGTTTGTCCATGACCTAATAGCTCGATAGAGACCAAATTCATCACAGAAGTGAGTGCTTCATTCTTGTACGCATCGCGGTATAGCTCTGACGATGTGGTGAAGGAGTTTATCAGAATCAGAGTAGGCTTGGACGAATCCACGGGACCGGATGTTTGGTAAGCGGCTTTTATGCCACCAAGATGGGGGACGTCGACTGTCTGGGTATTTGGCATGATTTCTGAAGGCTCAATTTGCTGCTCTTAGAGATGGGAAGGCTGGTAAAAGAACTTGGACACGTTGGACACGTTAGACACCCGAGGTTTATGTGTTGTCTTTCTGCAACGACGTCAGATGTCGATCGTATTTGCGGGGAAGAGTGGGCCTAGGTCAGGCTTTAAGGGTGAGGCGCTTATAACCGGGAACCTCAGTGTCGTCGTGGTATGGTAGGCGTGCAAAGAAGACGAGAACGTCATAAGATACAATCGCTTGTTCGGCGCGGAACCGCAAAGCCAACGTCACCAAAAATCAGAACTACCTCACGCAATGTGAATGGCGAAAATCTTACACACTCATGGCTGAATTCGCAAAAGACACTTCGAATGGCTTGTATTCAGTGAAGAAGTTATGTTGCTAGGTGTCTTTCCTCTAGTTCTCGAGGACATACCTGTACCTAGCCTTTCCAGCCTCCATATCCACAATCGCAGAGTTAGCGTCCTTCATCGGCCTCTTCTGGATCCATGGCTTAATCTTCTTCTCAGCCGCCAGCTCCAACATCTCCTTAATCTCCCAGGGAGCACCAATTCCAGAGCCTCCAACCTTGAGTCCACTCATCAGGAGGGTAAAGGCGTTGATAGGAGGAAGCTCGCCACCGTCAGGAGCACCAACCTGGATGAAGGTGCCGTGGGTCTTGAGCAGGCTAAGATATCCGTCTAGTGGCATCTTAGCGCTGGAAACTGTGCAGATGATGAGGTCGAGTGTTTGTGCGTTGTGCTTTTGCCAGTCCTTGTCTTCGTCGGTTGAGACGTAGAGGTCAGCGCCTAACTTGAGGACATCGTCGCGCTTCTCGGCCTTGCGGCTAATACCAACGACCTTGTCTGCTCCGAGAGCTTTGGCGAAAAGGACACCAAAGTGACCCAGGCCACCTACACCGACGATTCCGACGGTCTTGCCAGGGCCACAGCCGTATCGCTTCAAGGGAGAGTAGACTGTAATTCCACCACAGAGCATAGGCGCGGCATCAGCACTGTCCAGGCCGTCGGGAATGTTCATGACGAAATGGCCATTTGTGCGGTTGTGTGTGGCGTATCCACCGTAGCTCTTACCCTCGTCGCGTGGGTAGACGGAACCGTATGTGTTTATTGACTCACGATGGCAGTGGTTCTCGATGCCATTTGAGCAGTCGGGACAGTCGGGCTGAAGGCATGAGCGTGCTTGCGCGCCAACACCGACACGATCGCCCTCTTTGACGTGCTTGACGTTCTTGCCGACCTTTACAGCCTTGCCGATAATCTCGTGGCCGACAACGCAGGCTGGCAGCAGTTAGCACGACAAAGCTGTGACAGGAAAAAGAAGAAGAAAAAACGTACGGTATGGTGTTGGTCCCCAGCCACTGCTCAGCATGTGCAAGTCTGATCCACAGATACCGCAATGAGAGATCTCAATGTCGACATCATCCTCAGTCCACTTCTTGGGCTCGAATTGACCCCACTCCATCGTTCCCTTGACGCTCTCCTTGTCCTTGCCGAGCCATCCTTCGAACTTGGTGTCTGTAGCCATTGTGTTGTTTGTTGTAATTTTTCGTTGTTGTTGTTGTTGTTGTGGTGGTGGTGGTGGTGGTGTGTTGGGTATTTGTGTAGGTGTTGATGTTGACCGGAAGTGGCAGGATGGATAGTTGGACCTGCTGTGTTAGTGAACAAACACTTATATATCAGCAAAGGCCGTTAACTCCGTCGATCTCCCAATATGACGTTCATTACAAGCTTCGACCGTCTAGAAGAGCCTCAACGCCATCTGTGCAAATGAATTACGGAACTGAGCTACTTTGGTAGGGCCCGTCGCCACTCCTGTCACTCCCATTGGCTACCATACTCGGGTGGACCATCATAGATGTCTACACGTAGCTTGTACCGTGGCGGGAGTGCCGGTTTTGTCTGTTGGTGCTGTACGTCATTAGCAGAAAAATTATCTACCACGTAGATAGCGGGAGTGAGCTATTCTCCCATTGGTTGCGTGCCTTGCGCTAGTGCAGCGGCCGATGGATATCGGTCACCGCCATAGATTATCGGAAGGACCGACTGATGCAAGTAGCTGACATTGCTGTGGGGGTTGGTCTGGTGATATCGGGGTTAAACGTGGAGAATTGCAACTCATCCGCAATGTCGTGTCCTGTGGGTACGGACGAACGCGGAATGCATGTGGGGTCACCGCAGAGTGCAATTTTGCGGAAGCTGTGCAACAACATGATGAGTGTAGTGAGTATTTTGTTTTCGTGTATCGTACGTTACCTGAAGCGTTGGAACTTCTCTTCCTCTGCCATTCTCTCGTTTACACGCTTAATCGTTTCAGCGTCATAGACTTCGTCCAGGCTCTTTTCACCTTTCAACACTTCCTTTTCATGCTTTGTCACCTCTTCCTTGGTCATAAGGACCAGGTCCTTCATTTGGAGGTTACTGCTCTTTTGACCTGGTGTGCTCTGATCCATAAAGCTCTGGGTAGGCTTGTTCCATCGTGTCAAGGCTAGGCGTGTGGACAATCCACTGATGATGCTTCGGCCATTGAACACTTCTTCTACCAGATAGCCCACGTCGTCCTGTGTGATGGGGATCTTGAGGCCCAGTGGATCCTCGCTGAAGACTGCTCGGGCTAGCCGTTCTTCGGCACCTTGCAGAGCACCCAAGATTCCGTCGTACATCTTGTCGCGAGACTTTGACAGCAGGTATTCATGAGGATAACCGGCGATGGAAAGAATGACGTGATTCGCGACAGCGAGGCCGAAGATGGCTGGCATGGTACCTAGAACGGGCAAGATTCGTACGCGGAAGTCTGCGAGAACACCCAGCTCCCCAACGTTGCCTTTGGCAAACTCCTCCTCTGAGAGAGGCTGAAGCTCAGCCTTTCCAGGACCGGGCCTCTCAGTAGAGTAGACGACTGGTATGCCATCCTTGACGCCCTTCAAGCGCAACTTCCTTCTTGTGGACTTTGACAACGGGTCGTCTGTGCTTCCGGAGATGTCGCCGATGAAGATCCTTGTAGGATCAGACTTGCAACCTGCACCCATGGAAGATATGACCTTGATGTTGTTCATGTAGCAGTATGCCAGAAGTGCAACCTTACTGTCAATGTTGTCGATGGCATCGATGACGAAATCCGGCTGCTGGCCATTTAAGGGTGCTAGTTGTGCTGCCGCTGTTTGCTCCCCAAATAGTTCATTGCGACATTCGAAGTGCGTCCAGGGAGTAACCTGCTCAAGTCGTTTTCGGAGACAGTGTACCTTGGGCGTTCCAACGTCTGCCAAAGTAGCAACTGCGTGGCGGTTGAGGGAAGACAAAGTAACCTGGTCAAAATCGATAAGCCTTAGTTTTGAGCATCCCGAGCGAGCGAGTGCAGCTGTTGCGTGTGAGCCGACGCCTCCGCACCCGACTACAATTACAAAAGCGCCCCTTAACTTTGCGAGTCCAGGGTCTGTGAGAAACACTCTATTTCTAGCCAGTTGTTCAAGTATAAGATCTAGCACACTAGTCAGGCTTGGCTATCAGGGTTATGGAAGGGAAACAATACCATCGTCATAGTCGCCTTTTCTTGCTCTTGCGGCTAATGCCATACTCCGTTCGTCCTCCTTACTTGGAGCAAAGACATTCGAAGCAGCGCCATATTCGGTCAGCTGGAGTCTGTCAGCAAATACTCAGGCGGCATTTCAGTGACTAAATATGTAGTCGATCAGAAATCTAGGTACTCACTCTGGACGCGCGATGATCGTCACTGAGATCTGGGATCGATGCTTTCAGATCCGCGACCCTCGTCATGCGTCGAGCTTTCTGGAATCCAAGAATGGCGCTTCCAACGACGAAGCCTGAAACGGCAGCAGTCGTGATAAGCTGAGCATTGTGGGACTCGGTGGCTCGCGATATCCAGGAAGGCATGGTGGCGGTGTGGTGGCACGCTTTATGGGACAATGCTCCCAATCTAAACCCACGTAATCATCTATGCACTGCAGAAGAGGAAAGATGAAGAGGAAGGGCCAAAATTTAGGAATTCGCAAAACTGCTAGACTTGATGACTTGTCAGTGATGTCGAATATCCATGCAGGTGCGGCTGTCAGGACTAGCGTGCATCTGGTAAGCGCCAAACCGTCGTGGTGGAAAATGCAGATGACCACGAGCGAGAAGGCGCCAGCGAACCATACGAAGACGTGTAGACGCGTCCGAGACATTCCTCACGCGCCGTAAAGGACGCTGGACCCGTGAGAGTCGTCCGTAGCTCATAAGAGGCCCCGACCCACGTCCCTGAAGCCCCAACTACATCGCCCATGTCTAAACTCACCTTGGGCTTGATTGCTGCTGGTGGCGCAGCCGCAGGAGCAGCAGCGACTGCCGCGCTCTACTCGACCAAGAAGGACAGCCTTCCGCCCACACCGTCCATCACCACCACTACCACGACTGTCACTGGGCCTGGCCGGCCAGCACCTGTACCCTCGGTCCCCGCCATCCCCTCGCCCGCTGCTGCTGCTGCCGCCCGGAGAGCGATAGTAGACCCAAACGGTCTCTTCCAATATGGCTTCCCCGGCCCCGTCAACGATCTCCGTCCTGCTGCCTCTCTCACATCGTCGTACGACCGAAGAACACGGAACCCAGCATGGGTCGCCGAGCACATCACGCCCGAGTCGCTAGCCAACAGCAATGCCGACCGCAAGCACAGCGTCTTCGTCGAAGACATTACGATCCCAGAAATGTTCCGCGCAAAGCTCAAGGACTACTTCCGCTCCGGCTATGACAGAGGACACCAAGTCCCTGCTGCCGATGCCAAGTGGAGTCAAGAAGCCATGGATGACACGTTTGCGCTGAGCAACATGTGCCCACAAGTCGGCGACGGCTTCAACCGCGACTACTGGGCGCATTTCGAAGACTTTTGCCGCAGGCTCACACACTCGTACCCCTCGGTCCGCATCGTGACCGGTCCTCTATACCTGCCCAAGCGCGAAGCCGACGGCAAGTGGCGTGTGTCATACGAAGTCATTGGCAACCCGCCCAATGTCGCTGTACCCACACATTTCTACAAAGTCATCTTCGCCGAAGACGGAAAGCTGGGCGGCAAAGTTGCGCTAGGCGCTTTTGTGCTGCCCAATGCCAGGATTGAGAACCACAAGCCATTGACCGACTTTGAGGTGCCTGTTGAGGCGGTGGAGAGGGCGAGCGGACTCGAGTTTGCGACTAAGCTCACACCAGAGAGGAGGAAGAGGCTGTGCCAGGAGGTCAACTGCAGCGTCATTGTGAAGGAGTATGCGCAGCGGCAGAAGACATTCGCTAAGAAATAAGCGTTGCAACCAAGGACTTTACCATATGGCAATATACCAATTTCATCTTGATAAAATCTTTTCTTGCTGGTGGTACAGTGTATAGTACATGCTCATCATATTCGTACATGACTCTTTATATCATGGATATCTTGCAAAGGCGCCGCCTCGAATCCTTCCCCTCTGACGTCAAGCAAGCATTTACACGTTTTGCACCGCACCGCCTTGTTCCCGCTGTATCCTGCCGACGTATTGCTTGCTGACTGTGTTCCATGCGCTCATGTACTTTTCCATGCATGCGCTCATGCAGCTCTCCTCGCCTCTCGAGAGGGAGGCACCAGGCTTGGGGATGCAGCGCTCGAAGCAGTGCTCATTGAGTTTCTGTGGGTGCATTAGCATGTCTGCTACTATAATTCAGATGCAGTAGGTAGCAAAGACGTACCTCGACCAGCATGCGCGCGTTCTGCATAGCAGCTTCCTGCTGTACTTGACGCATGACCGCTGTCTTGGGGTCGCTGGGGGAAGAAGACATGCCGCCGAAAGAGTCCATGTTTTCAACCCTGTGTGTTTGTTGTTATGGAGGTGGGTGGGGGTGTGTTATGGCGAGTTCGGCGGTCGTGGGTGGCTGCGTCTTGAAAAGTTGTCGACGTCAAGAGCGGCTCTCTCGCTAGCGTAGTCGCTGCAACCCAAGACCCCTGCATTACACGCGGAGGTGATAGAGTGGCCTTTCCGATCCCCAAGATTCACTCGCAGCACTCCAGCACGTTCAAGTCGCCCGACCCGCGTCACTCTCCTCTTCGACTAGCCCTCACCCCCACGAGGCTTTTATTCTTCTCCCACAGATTACCGAAGCCCAGTCTTCCTACCATTCTTTCTAGCGCACGAGTACTCAATTGGTAGCTTGGGGATAGCTGCTCTTAGACTGCCGAGGATCAAGTGCGACCATGTTGTTCGCAAGGCCATGGACGAGCCTGTGCTTGCTCGCGGGGACTTGGACGGGTGCTTGGGCGCGGCAAGGGGGGCTGAGCGAGGATCCTGACATCAAGGCCATCTCGGTGGGTTGCTGCCCTCGGAGACCATGGGGGTTTAATGCTAACGAGCGCATAGCTACGCACACATAGCCTCGAGCCTGTAAGTCGCATATTCTGCGCGAACACACCTGACCACAGAAACAATGTCTGACCCACATACAGCCATACCTTGATTCGGACATGCAAAGCCGTTGGTGGGATTTTGGCGGAGACACTATTATTCGAACTGATAAGTACATTCGACTGGCTTCGGACAAGCCCTCGCGCGATGGCTGGCTGTTTTCGAGAGTGCCTCTTACGGCTACGAACTGGGAGGTGCGTTACACTCTACAATGTCTAACCTCCAGAGGCTCACGCGCGAGTAGATCACTTTCGAGTTCAAGATCCATGGTCAAGGCAACCTCTACGGCGACGGCTTTGCCATGTGGCTCACCAAGCAGCGCGCGCAGCCAGGAAACGTCTTTGGCCATACAGACAAGTTCGAAGGGCTCGGCCTCTTCTTCGATACCTACAAGAACAACCGCCCCGGTACCGTGTTCCCATACATCATGGCCATGAACGGTGATGGAAACACGCCATACGACAAGGACAACGACGGCAAGGCCAACGAGGTCGCTGGCTGCTCGGTATGTATCAGTCGCATCATCGTGCTTGCTAAATACTGACATAACTAGGCCCGTGGAATTCGCAATGCCCAGATCGCGACCAAAGCCCGTCTCACATACTTCCAAGAACAATTCCTCCGTCTCGAGCTCCAATACAAGTCAGAAGGCGAATGGACTCAATGCTTCGAGATCCCCAACTTCAAGGTCCCACCCGTTGCCTACCTAGGCTTCTCTGCTGAAACTGGTGAACTTTCCGACAACCACGACATCGTCTCCGTCAAATCACAAAACCTCTACAAGAAGAACCCAAGCGCCGGTTCGTCCTCAGGAAGCTCAGGCGCCAAGACTGCTTCGTCCATGACCCGGGAAAAGAGCAGCAGCGGTGGAAGCTGGACCTGGTTCCTTGTCAAGTTTGTGCTGTTCGGCCTGGCCCTGACTGGTGCCTACGTTGGCTTCACCATTTACAGGACGAAGCAAAGGGATCGTTTCTAGGTGAATAGCTCGTACCTGCGGTTCAAGGGCAAGAAGAAGCTTGTTTGGAGAGGTCCATCGATGTTCCAAATGGATGGGTGTGTCGAAGTTGGCGACGAGAACGACTGGACGACATTGTATAGGGTCGAATGATGGAGTTCAGCTGGGGAAAAGATGGCCTAGGAAGGCCACGCGCATTGTTTTTAGTTCACCTAGCGCTTTCGCTGCTCTACACCTAACATATATCAAACCGAAAACACTTCAGCATGATTTGATCAAGATCAGAATATGTCTCCGCAAACGTTAACAGATCATTGCATAGGATTTTGCAAAGGCTGCCGATAACGCGGAGTTGGGTTGAGGGTTGTTCTGGCATCCGATTTAGGGGCTTGGCTACATGGAGTATGAAAGCGGCCTTGATGTCGAATGCTCTGTTTATCAAAGAAAGAAGAAAACAAGCTACAAAGACATTGCTCCATAATTGGAAGCATCGTCGACTCTATGCACATCTCAGTGATGAAGATTCCCGTGCCCATGTTGGCGTATGAACATGTATATCGGGATGTGCATCTTCCTCAAGATCACAAAAGGCAAGGTGAGAAGCTTCAACAGCGACGCATGACGGTATATAAACGATTCGGATGTGCAGACCGCTTTTATGGGGCTATGGGGACGCCAAGACTTAGCTTCCCAATCAAGTAGGTTCGGGTTTGGGTGTAGATAACTAGAAAGTGCCGGCCCAGCTTACGTTATTAGCTTACCACTAGCGTGGCCCGTGATTGCGCGCTGCATCTTCGAGACTGCGCGTCGGCAACTTTCTCTCGTCACCCACAACCCGGGCAGCGAGTAAGTACACCCCGATCGCTGTCAGCTAGCCTGAATCGCTCAGGCTACCCTCGCGCAAGAAGCAAAACGATTAGGCAATAGCTAACGTCCTATAGATCCCAGTGAACGACAAACCTTCGTCACAAGGCGATGCTAGGGGACTAATCATCCCCAGCGTCTCACTGCATGACAGACAAGAACGGAAAGCAGAGGGAGTGCGCCATCATACTAGATGCAGCCACAACGCTCAGTCTATCATTGCACAGCGATAGCCACGGGCGATTTCGCAAAGCTACTGGGTTCACCTTCACGAGACTACAGCCCCAACCTTTCCCACCGCGCACTGAGGAAGAAGTAAAAGAGTTGAAGCGCCGTGCTGCCTCGCCTAACAAGCTTGGAGGACGATGTTCGCTTGTGACGTCTAACTATGTAGTTTTCAATCCGAGCGCCTTTGCCCTTTGTGGCATCGCTGGTTGTGGGGATGCGTGGTCTTTGTTGTTGGGTGTCTGTGGGTCTGAGTGCTGGTGCTTGTGTTAGGTGGGTCGTTTTCTTTACAAAGTCCTGTTTTACAGACGGGCGCGAAAGAGGTCCAGTGATGATGTCCCTGTGGGGGCATTAAAGCCAAAGTCGAGTTGAGGAGCCCGACCGTTGCCTGTTGAGAGGTCGAGAGACAGATTAACGGGGAATGGACGAGGTTCCTTCTGAGGACAGCAGGAGAGCTAATCTGAGGACCATTAATATACTGCATATTGCTTTCGAAATATCCACACTTCTTCTGTGCACAAGCTGACCTACGTCAAGATCTCGCATGCAACTTTGTATATTGTAAGCCATCCATGGACGTATCTCGAAGATTATGGTACTTGTCTCATGACAACCTCTCCCACATCGATGCCTAAACCAACACATATTACTCATAGACGTAGCAGAACGGTCCTGCAACCGTACTGACCAAGTCCTTGATCTTGTACACCTTGCCATCGACATTCAACACCTCCAAATCCACGTTATCCTCCAGACTCTGTGCCCTCCCACCACCCATCATCGAAGTACCACCCGCTATGACCTGTTGCCTGTTTGCAAAGTCTTGACTCTGCCAAATAGACCATACACGGTCTACCATGGAGTGGTGGAGGTAAAAGTATGGGTCTACCACAGAGCATCAATTAGCAATGACACGCAAAGAGTAAAGGACTATACGCACCACCAGGTGATGTATAAAAGTCACTACCAGGATCACCAGCAACGGTGAAGTGTCCCGCACCGTGAGGGCCATTCGCAGCTTGCATGGTATCCTGGAACGATGCAATGGTTTTGCTGTTGTTGATCAAACCAACGATCTTGTCCGTTGTCGCGTAAAGCTGCGTAAGGTAATTGCTGATATCGCGCTTGATACAGCGGGGGTTGTATCCATATCCGTCTGATCGTGGATTCCGTGGAGGCGCCGGACTATCAATTGCTGCGACCGGTCTAGTCAAAGTTAGCCCAAGCACGCAAACAATACTGACAAAACTAGTGCAGTATGTGCGACCACGCCAAATAGGAAGATGAAGAAGATGAATCATACCCAAGATTAACCATCATTCCCTTGAATGGCCCACTGGCAATACACCCACCCCCGTTTCCCGCTGGCTTCAATCCACTACTACTATGCTGTACCTTCTCTCCTTGACCGCTCATACTCGTCTCACTCCCATCGAAGATTGGACTCGTCTCTGGACTGGCTGCCCAGCGTCCCCAGTCCCAGTACGGCTGCGTGCCATTGTATCCACACTCGACTCTCAACGCGTTCTCATATGCGAATGTATAGTATCTATGCCAGGATAAGAAGTTGCCCGTGCCGTGGATAGACAGTGTATTTTTCATGTGGATAGCTACAAAGTCATCGAAACGCGTTTTGGCGCCGGGATATTGAGTGGGCGAGAGTTTGGAAGGCGCTTTGGTTATGCATTGGACAGCAGCGATGTAGGCGCGTTTTTCTGAAGCTGTGATGTCGCCCCTGGTATATAGGTATCAAATCACTATGTATGGCAGGGGTGAGATCGTTGTGAGACATACCATTCTCGGCGTACTCGGAGTTTATCTTTGGTACATGAGGTTGATTTGGCAATGGCGGCGTCGATGGCTGCGCGGCCTTTGGTCTGGAGATCATTCTGTAGAGGTAAAGACACAAAGTCAGTGTATGTCTCACATGTATTTCGTACAGTCATGACTTACCACTGCGTCCGCAGCGCAGAGTACGTGGAGTAGCGAGAGGGAGGCGAAGAGCGCATATAGCGCCCTAAGGTTGAAGCCTGCCATCTACGACAGGACGGCAGCGATCACTGACTTGTGTTTTGAGCACTGAAGAGGAGGCTCAACTTATAGACAAAATCCTAGGCTATAAACGCCAAGGTGCAGACGACATGCTACTCGGGTCTTTCCAGCCGTGATTTACAAGGTAGGATGCATGCCAGAAGCGAATGGATTACTGTTAGATGAGGCTTTAATTAAGTTGCTGAGAGCTTCGAGGTGTGGAACTCTTGCATGCTGGGAGATGAAGGAATGCGTGGTCGGAGTCGGCAGATGCATGTCAGACGCAGAAGCTCGTGTGTCAAGACCTGTAACGGGTGTGGATTCTAGGGTAAGAGATATTGCGTCGCTGTGTTCGGCCATAGTATCAGCATCTCGAACATAAGCAAGGCGTCTTGCATAAAGGTCATTTGAGTTTGACTACGGATATATCAAGCAAACGTAATTGAGATTGGAGCATATCTCAAAAAAGATGTCATTCTTTTCAAGGCTGGAGTGAAAATCTGAAGAGAGTAAACTAACTCAGTTACGTGAGCAGATCGACAAATTTGACATGGTAGTTGATCCACCGACCGTGCCGCTCTATTGCCAAGACGGCGTGGACGAAGGATGCCGTCTAGACGAGACATCTGTTACGAGCCAAGAATGAGGCTAATATGGACGACCATAAAGTTTGGTGGTAGTTTTGCACATCCTACGCATTGTTCAAGCACTTACAGGGTCCGAAGATGTCTATCTTCCTTGCAATGAATGGCGGACGGCTTTCATCGATCTGCGTGCAGTTACTGTGTGCCATTTCCTGCTGTGTTGGCTGTTTTCGCTCCTCAATGTACTAAGCGATGTTTTGGTGACACCCAAAGGACTCAAAAGTAGAGCGGAAATGCCCGTTAAGCGATGTCGTAGGATCATCTCAGAATGCCCTTGCACAGCATGCCCTATGGATCTGCAAGTACATGCAAGAAAGATGCAAGGCGCCGGTGGTTTGTTGAGATGAAAGCGTAGTCATTTAGCCGGAAACAAGTCCCTCTTGTCGGAGCTTTCCAACCGATTGGACAGAACATTATAAGATGCAGTGAACACAAGGTCCATATTTGACGGGGTCTGACTTTGAGGATCTCCTCAATCTCAGTCATCGGAATCGGAGGTACTTTGTTTGGTTGCCTCGACGTGGGTATGATTTGTTCACCGTATGGAAACTCCCCCTTGCAAGACACCCTTGTCGCCTTCCCGCTGATACCTTTCCAAAAACAGTTGTCTAGACGACTTCTAGATCGCGGGGTGTATGGACGTCTGAACTGCCTTGTAGCAAGGTCCTTTAGAGCCAAGACCCAAAGCACCTGCTGATGCGGCGCTTCCTTTGTCAATCAAGCATCCTCCAAGACTTATTGGTCGCTCGGAGACTACAAAGCTTCCCGCGTGGTCGTCGGCGATGGATGTCGGTAGTAAGTGCCACACCTTCGATAAGGCGTACCAAGGATATGGTTCGGCGCATAAGCTCCGATGGTTACTGATAAACATCGCTTTCCTATACTATTTGAAGTAGCTTACAGTCCTTCCTTTATGTCTGGTCCTCTGCTCTTTCTCTAGGTGTCTTCATCTCTGCACCGTGTGACCAGGTAGCTCGGCTGGGCGCTCATTCATCGGCGCTTCTGACACAACATTGTTGTATGGCATCTCGTACGTTGTTGTGGTATCGTGATTCAGCTCGTACTTGTTTAGTGGTGGAGACTGAACATGTGCCATGCTCTCGTGGGGCAGCTCTTGCGGCGGGTTTGTGTACTGTCCTCTCTTTCGTTTCCGCCAAAGGAAAAGGCCGAGTACGATGAGTGCTATGAGCGCAGCACCGCCAACTCCCACTCCAATACCTGCTTTTGCGCCAGTAGAAAGGCCTGAAGAGGTGTTCTCGTTCGCTTTGGCCGTGGCCGAAGATGAAGCAGGTCCTGAGGTAGCAGTTTGAGTACCGGTCACACCACCTACTAACTGGTGATATGTTAGATTGTACAAGGTATACCATCAGCCCAGATATATCTTACGTTAACGCTTGAATACCGCTCATCATCGATGGCTGCTATTTCCGAAAAATTCCATTTTTGCCCTTTCTGTGGCGCTGTAATGTTCGAGCTCATTACGATATGACCCAAATTTGGTGTAAGGGTAAGATGATAATCGGTCTTGTTTGCCAGGTTGGTCAGATACCACGTCCCGTCGCCCCATGAGGCGATAGTCCAGTACGCACTCGCGTCGGCGATATCACCTCGAGCCATGTATGCGAACGATTTGCCCTTCTGTTGCTCGTCATCGGAGTATTTTGCGGACAAGTAACTGTTTGGACCAGATCCTTGTGAACGCAGCGTCCAAACGGTTGAGTTGAATTTGCGTAGCTGCCATCGCTGCTCGGTGTCTGTGTCGTTTCTTGTCTTGATGAATACTGCGCCCCTCGATCCATCCCCGTTATAGAGTGCTGTGCCTACCATCGACTGTGTGTGGCTCGGGTCTATGAACATTGAATACCACAGGTTTGGATCGATATCTGGTTCTTGAGCCATCGCGAGAGTATTGTGAGTCTATAATCGTAACGGGGGTAGTCGCGAGTCTTGTAAACAGAAGGCAGGTGTGCACACAACAGTGTCTTGTGCGATCAGGGGCACATCAGAACTACAGGCGAGATGGCTACTTGAGTAGATCTCATTCAGCCTTTAATCGCCCCCCACCACGGGCGCAGCCTAGCGTGAGACCTAGGACGGGCTGGTAGAGATGGTGTATGTTAGTGCCAATTAGGGAGCGGGATGAGGAGCAGATCTATAATCGTAAGCGCCGTGCAACAGGTTGCGCAGTGTCTGGAAAAGCATGTTGCAGTAGCTTGCTTTGTAAAGTCTGGCGTGTAGCTTTGGTAAAGTCGATAATGACAATGCTGCATTGGTCAATCGTGGTGCGCTAGTACTGATGGCCTGGTCTTGCTGTCATGCTGACAACGTTTGTACAATGTTGGTTGGATATAACCAGGCATCCAACGTATCCAGGGTCATCCAAGCTAGGAGGCCGCCTCTTTACGCCACGATAGACAGAATAAGCCTCAAGCTGCGAACGAGGCGCACGCTGTGATGTTTCAATCGTTGTCACAAATTTCTCTACAATCAGGAGCAAAAACGCATTTCGATGTAACGATTGTCAAAGTGGTAGAGATGCCAAAGCTATACAAGGCGCGTAGAGAAGGGGACGCGGACAAAAGGTTAAAAGATCAAAAGGCGGAAAGCAAGTCGTAGCCGAACGATCGAATTTGCTATTCACACATCCAACACAAACAATCCATTTATTTACTAGCCTCCAGAACATTCCTCTCCACACCACTGACCGCCTCCCTTACACTTGGCGCGAAATGCTTCCTCAGAATCTCTCCTTCCCAAATAGTCCCCGCGAAAGGATTGCTGCCCTCAATCTCAGGTTTCAGCGCGTCAAACACTCCGTCGCCTCGCCTCTCCTCTGTATTCCACAGAGGTGCTACCTTCTTGCCGTGCGTCTTGGTCACGCGGTTCAATAGACCAAGCATAGCGGTACAAGATTTCTCAGGGAGATGCATGGAAATGGACATGAGTTGTTTTGCAAAAGCCGCTACGCGGAGGGGCGGGACGGCGCGAATTGATGTAGCGGGTAGGAGGACAGAGGATAGAGAGCGGATGAGTAGGACGATGGTGGTTTGCACGTTGATTTTTGCGGTGTCAGCATGAGATTCTGCGGCGTTGGGTTCGGGTAGGTGGAGGGACTTGGAACTGAGCTCGATATCTGGGTTCAACGCAACGGGGTGTAGTGTGCGGTAGAGATGGGTGATGAAGTAGCTGAGGTCCAATTTTAGGGCTGATGCTGTTTTTGCTCCATCTTGGCCTTCAAGGAGTGCAAAGGCAGTGATGACGCAGAGGAGGGATTCGCGGGTGAGGTTGCGCTCGGGTGCTTCGTTGTCGTCTTCTTCATCTGATGCGTCTTCATCTTCTTCGACTGCGGCAGCAGCTGTAAGTTCGGCCGTCGCAATGATGTCTCGCAAAGCTTCCAGGATATCTCCGAAGAAATCTTGGTTAATCAGATGGGCGTATCGTGCCAGACCTTCCAACACAGCACCCATCAGTTTCGGCGAGCGAGCTTTCAGGATTCGGAAGTATGCCACAAACACCATCTTCAGCGTCTCGGCCTGCATCCTGTCACGCTCCTCGTGACTGACAGCTGCGTCAGCCTCCTTGAACTCTTTCTCGATGGCCTTTTTCTCTTTCAGCTCCTTTCGTAACCTCTTCGTCCTGAATTCGCGCTTCTGCTTCTGCTTCTTGCCGTTGACAGTGGGGTCCTCCGCCTTGTCAACGGAATGATATGAAGCCTTCTGCGCAAACTCGGACAGCAGTCGCAGATGCAAGAACGTGTTCAGCACACTTTCGTCGAAGTGGTAATTCCGACTCTTCATCATCTTGGTCAACATTGTAACAGCTTCCAGCGCAGCATTGCCGTCTTCGTCGTTCTCAAAGAGTGTTTCCATGGCCTCTCTGCATCGCACAAAGTCCGCATCTACCCTCCTCGTGCTAAGCTTGCCAACAAGAATCTTTATAAGCTCGCTGCGGAAGTTGAAGTGTGGTACGGAATTCAAGAGATTGCATGCGCAGCTAACAGCAACCGATGCAAGACTCGCCATGTGCTGCTTGTCCGACCCACTATTCTTTGCCAGTCTCGCCAAGTACTTGACATGTGCTTCGTAGCTCGATACCAGCTTCTGTTCGAATTGCCGTAGCTTCTTGACTTCCTTGGAGATCTTCTCCTGCATTTTTTCTTCCGATAGCGGCCGTATTCTGTACCCAGGGATGACATCCTTGAAGATGGAGACCTGTGTTGCCAATGCCAACTTCCTAACGTTGAAGTTCTCTGATTCGGCGAGTGCTTGTAGTGTCTTCAGCGCTCCGATATGCTCTTCGGGATCTTCGTTGATCAGACTCGCTATGCGCGCTAGTTCTTCCTTGGCCTCGAGTATCATTTGTCGCGCTGGTATCTTCGGCTTCTGTTCCTCTACCTCTTCTACATCCGAGGCCTCGGCCGCTTCATCCTCGCTCCCAGACCCGAGAAAGCTGTCCGACTCTTCCTCTTTGATATCCTGCGCATTGGGCGGCGCTGCTACCCATCCTTCTGTCGTCCTGACGGGCAGTTTCTTGTTCTCTTTCTGCTTCTTCAGTTTGCGCGGTCGCGTTTCGTAGTCTTGTTCGAGATCCCATTTCGCAGCATTCTTCAGAAACTTGGCCTTGTGATCTTCGCTCGCACCATTCGCACGCTCGCCGTCTTCGGGTGGTGAAAGCCTTCTTCGCTTCGCGACCGGTACGCTTCTCGACATATTGGAAAATACTCGTGGGACGATATGGGCGACAAGGATCGGTGTTGGTTGAATGCTTGACAGGATTTCTGAAATTTTGGCGGAGGCCGCGGCGGAGACTAGCCGCATCCGCTCCACATTTTTTTGGCAGCAGATCTCGACTTTGCGAACTTGCGCCCAGCTTCAACCCCAACTCTGAACTTCTTCACACGCATACACAATGAGGCCCCTCACAGAACCAGAGACCAAGACTCTTTTCGAGAAGCTTGCGACGTACTGTGGAAAAGGCATATCCAACCTCATCGCTGACCCCACGGGCGGTAACGATCGCAATGTCTTCCGCGTCCAGGTACGAACTGCTTCCAATTCGTCAAGCCTCTCCCATCACCATGCACATGCTAACCGTTAAATCAAGGGCTCACGTGTCTACTATGTCCGCGAATCTCTCGCCAACTTTGCCACATCTGTCGCACGCGACAACCTACTCTCCCTCGGAATCTGCCTGGGTAAATTCACCAAGACGGGCAAATTCCGTCTGCACATCACAGCGCTGAGCGTAATCGCCCCGCACGCGCGATACAAGGTGTGGGTTAAGCAGAACGGTGAGATGCCGTTCTTGTACGGCGGCAACGTGCTCAAGGCGCATGTGGGACGGTGGAGTGAGGACTGCCCTGAGCACCAAGGTGTTGTTGTGCTGAGTATGAATGACACGCCACTGGTAAGTTGCAGCCACGGGGACGGGGGTGGAGAGCTAGGCTAACATATGTTTTGTAGGGTTTCGGTGTGAGTGCACGATCGACGGCCGAGGCGAGGAAGCTGGACCCTACAGGTATTGTCACGTTCAGGCAAGCGGATATTGGGGAGTACCTGAGAGAGGAAGATACATTGTTCACGACTTGAGCGATGGGAGGCTTGTGCGACAACAATCCTGCTCTTCAAAAAGAGCTTGTTCCTTCTAACGAAGAGAATCAAAGAGCAAAGTCAGCGTGGATCGCCTACGCATTTGCTTCAGTATCGCGCGCTTCCAGTGAGCAAAAAGAAGAGAGGCGTAACGGGGCTGCATACTGTAAAGAAGACTCTAGACGAACGAACGAATGAGATACCCAACTACCTTCACTGTCATGTCGCGTTTGGTGTTAGAGCTTGCAAGACGAAGTAGTCATTCCAATAGCATAAAAGCATGGTACGACTAAAGTGTTATTATGAATTGCTTCTATTGTCTTCGCGACTCGGACGTGCTCTTGCTTGTCCTGTTGATTCTGATGTACATTTAATCTTTTTGTAGCCGGTTGCTCGGCAAGGGTATCAATCTTTGATCCTGAAGTCGCAGTCTGTTGATGAACAGTTTACCGCCAAACTCCGCAAGGCAAACCTATCAAGCGCCATCACGCACTCAACCGAGCTTCTCAAGGAGCTTCCTCCTTCTGCGCTCTACCAGCTCGTTGTTCACCTCCTCGAGTGTTGGGACGCGCCATCGTATGCCGTCACCCGCATCTCCAGGCAATTCCATCCACTCCTTGTGCGTCTTGCTTGGCTTATCGTCCATGTCATCGCCGAGCACCATGAAATTGTCCCAAGCCTCTCTCTCTTTGGCTTTTTCGTATGCTAGCAACGTCCCATCCTCTTCGTCTAGGTTGTAGCCGTAGTAGCCCGCATCCACCTTCTGCCTCAGCTCGCTCCTCTTTTCGCGCCCCTTATCCATGTCGTCTTCCGGCCTGCTCTGCCTCTCGAATAGCTCTTTGACTCCCGGCAGATCCTTCGCTCGTCCAAAGTATCTATACCCCTTTCCGCCTCCTGGCACCTCCCGCCCTTCCTCATCCAGCACTCGTCCGCCTCGCATATAATTTGGCCCACCCAAGCCTCTTATCTGACTCTCCCACATGTGCTTCTCTCTCATGAGTTTGTTGATCTCATCGTTGAGGTCGCGGATCTGGTAGTCTGAAAGCGCTTCGTCCTGAATCTTTGTAACCTTGCGGGAAATCTCCTTTAGCACTTGGCCGCGCCATTTCTCACACACGGGAATCGAGTTGACCGAGGTTATGAGCTTGGGGCGGCGAGTGCGCGAGATGTCGATGATTCCAGCTTCGGCGGCCTGCGCAGCGCGAAAGCGGAAGAGCATCGAGTGCGCCTTTTCGGAATTACGCGCCATGACTGCGGTTCTGACTCAATACTACGTTCCGAATGTTCAAGGGTCGCAGCGGCGACGATTTTGCTTCGGAGCGGCGCTGATCTTGGGTCGGGAGCTATATGGCGTGCTTCGTCGCGCTCTGGCCTTGCGGTGGTGATTTGTATTATGCGCTGGTTGCGAAAGTCTATTAAAGGTATACAGAAAGCTGCCCGCAGTTGCAGAAGTGAAGGTTCGACGGGAAACGGGATGCGCGATGGGTGGTTGATGTTGTTGTCGAGGAAAGATTCAAAATGACAGGCGCGTTGGCTGGAGCGAAAGTTTGGTGTTTCGACGCACGCGGCAGATCTTGGCATTATTGGGCCAGCAAGGAACGCCTTTCTGTGTGCATGAACTTCATGCGAGCATATCCACTTCGATCCGCCATGCTATTTGACAGACACATCACTGCCATCATACCTTCATCTCGCTTTGGTAGGTCTGTTGTGAAAGTCGTAATATCTCCATAGAACGATAAGCAAGTGCAGCATCTATGAATAGAATACTCACTCTGACTTGCTTCTTCCTTCGTGCTCGCCTGTTTTACATACAGGCTGTCTTTCTTTGCACGAAGAAATTATATGCATGGTCAGGGAAACGCTGTTTTGCAATTTCGATCTTTCTTGATTCATCTTCTATCAATCTGACTACAGGCCGTCAACACTATCTTCTAAACCCAAGTAAAAACATTATGTGACGCCACCATGCTAGGGATACGACTGAAACAATAATGCATGGTCCAAGTGAAAGAAGAAAGGACAAACGAGTTACAGACGGTAGAAAAAATACTTCTAGTAGAATGGAGAGAAGCCGGGAACTAGCCCGTAAAGGAAGCGTCAGGTCGTCTCAGTGTACAGCTCCAACGTACTGTGCAAATTGTACAGAAAATGCATCACCGTCGAACGCCATGCACAAAGCCCCTTGAACCTGAAATCGAGTTTGAGTTTCTGCTTCATCTGGATCCAAACCGAGATGTAACGTCCAAAAGCCGAGAGATGGATTGATAGATACATAGGAAAATGGGAACGGTTCCCATACGAAACAACTAATGCTAAAGGAAAAGAGACTGTCAGTCAGATCAAGTGACTAGTGAGGTGCCGCTTAGAACGAACACAAGTGATAATATAGGAAAGAGTGTAGGCGTGAGGCGGAGATTATGCACCAGCTCCATAGTTTGCTGCTTCCATCTCAGTCTGGTGACGCATCTGCTCATTGCGCATCTCAGTTCGCGACTCAGTGCGTGATTCAGTCCGTGACTCAGTGCGTGATTCTGTGCGAGACTCTGTTCGGGATTGTGCGCGCGAACTTATGGAACCAAAGAGCGAAGGCCTGGAAGCCTGAGAATTGACTTGTCGACCTTTGACTGAATGTTGGTGAAGGTGTCCAACGTCGTGTTTGCCTTAGACATGTTAGCTCTTGTACATTGTTGGGATCAAAGAATCTTACCATCGCAGCATGCTCGGACATTAGGCATGAAATCCTGGTCGCGCTCTACGTGTTCATGGATGTCCCGACTAAGCTCCATATTCGAGACGCTAGGCTCTTCGTACATGGCAGACTCTGTAGCGCTGGTCCTGCTGTTTCGCCGGCTCGTAAACGATCCTCGCAGAGCAGAGACACTGGGTCGGAGCATGCTGTTGATACGGCTCGAAACAGATCCATGCACTAGTGGCTCGGTTGATGTTGCACGATGTGGTGTAACATGCGACTGTCGAATCGTAGGTACTTGGCCATAATCGCGAGACGACGTCCTCCGGGTTGCATATGACGCCATGGAGCCTCTTGAGCGCCCTGTTTGCCGAGAGGAGCTGCGGTATCCGCCATTGAATTCGTCCTGGATCTCATCTTCGGTGGCTGCCTTGTGCTCCTGATCAGACTTTGCAGGCGACTTCTGCTGTTCACTCTCGTCGACCCGTTGGCATAGATAGTTCAACGCGTTGTACCATGTCTCGTGCCTTTGACCTGTTGTAGCAGTAAACTTCATGGATCGACCAGGCGTGATGACGAGTAAGCTCTTCTGGTGAAGTCCGGGAGGTAGAGGGTTAGGGTCATCAACTTCTTGAACAGATTCGATAGCAACGCTTTTAGCCTTTAACGTCGTTTTGTCAGCACTCTGAGGATCTCGGTCGCTCCAGTACAGCGTCCTGGTATAAGGATGGATCCAGAAGAAGCGGCGATGGCGGTTCTCAGACATGCCTTCACGCCCGGTCTTGCGGGTGTACTTCCACAAGTACTCGCCGATCATGGTCTGAGTGATGGCCTGTATCATGCGCGGATCTGTCGCGCCAGGCGGCAGTCCATTTGCAGCAAAAGACGGGCCGCCTGGGATGTTGAAGCGCTGGTCAATCTCCGAGGTGAACGACGACAGTGAGGACCTCCGGCTAAGAGGCGAAGAAGCTCCGCTGCGCTGCGATTGTCGGCGTACGCGTGGTGTGGTTCCGCCTGTCCTGGGGGTGAGAGTGTTGCTGTTCGTCTTGATAGTAGGCGTATGCGGTCGCTTTTTGTAGGCAGATGCTGGCATTGTAGGTGGTCCCATTGCGCCCGGAGAGATTGGTTTGAGAGTCGCTGCGGCGATGACTTCCTTATGATCCGAAGGCAGTGGTGGCGGTGTTGCAGCGCGAGAGCGCATACTTCCAGAGCTACCAGGACGCTTGGGTGTTCGGCTTGGCTCATTTGCGTACTTTTTACCAGGCGACTCAGGTGGAGACAGTGACTTTTCTAGCCCGGACGTGGTGATCAAACTACTCCATCGCTGACTCCGGGCGAGCAGTAGCTTGTCGATTTGCTGGGCAGACACCATTGTCTGAGTGCCTCCGTCTGTCATTGGTGTTCGGGGCGTTTCCCTAACAACATTGGCATTCACAGGCGTAAGAGGCATACGACCATCCGTGCTGTCAACTCGTGGGGTGCTCATCTCTGATGTGACATCCTTATCCGAGGGTAGTGTAGCGTCAAAATAACCAAGCTTTGGCGTAGATACTTGCTTGTTCTCCATTGCTTCTGTCTGGGAAGAAGCACTGGTAGTTACAGCAGGCGCGACGGCCCGATGAGCAGTAACAGGTCTTGACGGTGTCAATGGTTCAGTGCCCTGTGTAGCAACAGGAGACAATGTCATGGTGGGAGCTGAAACACGATTCGCTGTGGATGGACGACTTGTCGGAGTTGGCAGGAATGCCGGAAGCGTCGGCGACTCAGGCTGAGTATCCTGGACAGTTCGCACATCGGAAATGTTGTGTACAGAAGCCGAAGGAGCAGGGGGTGTGACCGGTTCGGTCTGAAGTCCGCTAAGGACAGACAATTGCAGAGGTGCCTGCTTTGGCTGTACGGGTTCAGTAGCTTGAGACGAGACCCCCGAGAAGTTGGCAGGAGACGACTTCTCTGGTACGACTGGCTCAGTTGACCGTGAAGACAGCCCGGAGAACGAGAACGGTGCTCCTCTCATAGGCTCCACAGGATGGGATGTCTGGAAGGACAGCGACGAGAGCTGTGGCGGGTCTGCTTTAGGGATTTCCACTGGGTCAGTAGAACGAGCAGAGAAACTTGACAGTTCCAACTGTGGTTGCCGCAGTGCAGCAGGCTCGGTAGCCTGTGCGGAAAGTTGAGAAAACTGCTGCTTGCTGGGTCTCGGCGCCAGCGGTTCTGTTGATTGAACGGACGTTACAGAGAACGTGGATGGGACCGCACGAGGTAGATCCTTAGGCTCAGTCGTGTGAGACGACAAAGAAGACATCTGCAGCAATGTCGGTTTGTAGGGTACGTCCCTAGGCTCAGTCGCGTGAGCAGACAAGCTTGACATCTGGAGTGGTGCAGGCTGTTTGCTGTGATGAGAGTCTTGTGCAGTAGATGCTGGAACGATATCGGAGATTGACCTCGACTCCGACGCCGAGGTAGATTCGTCGTGCTGTGTAGGCTCTGTCGCCTGCGCATAGATAGCAGACGTGAAAAGGCCTGCTGGAGCCAGTAGCTTGGGGGCCGGAGCTTCCCGGGGTTCCGTAGTCTGCTGAGAGATAGACGACACGTCCAGAGAAGGAGCAATGACCTTGTCCACCGCTGGTACAATAGGGTCAGTACCTTGGGATGACACGGTGGATACCCCCAGAGAAGGAGGAGCAACATGTCGAGGCTCGGTGGTATTGGCAGACACCGACGACATCTTTAGAGGAGCGATAGGTACAGCACGTGGCGTTGTATCTTGTGCGTTCAGCGAAGAAATTGCGAACAACGGAGCTGAAGGAACTCTTGGCTCGGTTCCTTGACTTGAGAAAGATGATACAGCCAGTTGGGGTATCTTAGGGGTTTGAGGGCTGGTAGCATGGCCAGAAAGGGTAGAGAGCCCAAGAGTTGGCGGAAGCACATGCTTGGGTTCGGTGTCTTGCGAGGAGACCAAGGAGACTTTGAGATCTTGACGGGGTAGAGCTTGCGGGCTCGTATCTTGCGAATGCAGGGCAGAGACTCGCAATGTAGGCAAGGGAACGGCTTGCGGTTGAGTGTTCTGGCTTGAAATGGAAGATATGGAGATGGGTTCAGGAACATCTGCTTCTGTCATCGTGCCCGAATCCACCATAGTCGGCTTGGGTGCATCCGACTGAAGAAGGGACCTTCCAAGAACGGCCTTCCTTAGGGGATCTGGCGTGGCATGGCTGGAATACACGACACTGGATCGACTTGGCGAACCCTCCACAGAACTGGCATCGTCGTCGTCTCCACTCAGATCGTTCAACTCTGCTAACAGACTCTTGCCTTGGGCCGGAGTGTTCTCGTTGCTGCTGCTAACATAGCCGGCAGGAGAGTCTCTTGACGCGGGTGGCGTACCTGCGAAGAAATCCAAACCTCTTGGCGTCGATCTCCGCGAACTGCTGTCCCGAGCCTTCAACCTGAAGCGAGAACTCTGGTGGTGAAGAGGAGTCCTGAAGTCTGAATCATATTCGTCGCCAGAGGCGGAGGCTGTACTTCGGTAGGAATTGATGCGACCACCTTGTGAGATGGATGGTCGACTCCGTCGCGCACTAGACTTGGCAGGTCCTGCTTCAGTCTCAGTCAGCTGATCGCTGCTATCTCCGTCAAGGGTCTCAGCTCCGGTTTGGAACGCGTCAGATTCAGTCGCCATGCCATCACGTTCGTTGGCAGTCTCGAAAGCAGCATCCGATGTTTCGTTAGCAGTGTCAGCGCTTTCGTATGCGCTCGTCTCTGCGGCGGAACTGAAGCCGCTTGGGAAGGACCCTGGTACAGAGTTCAAGTGTTGTGGTGGCCTACTTGGGGTCTCAGGTACAATGTCTTGTTCTTCCCATTCGTCGTCTTCCACAATCTCTTGTGAGACGTTACGCAATGCTCCAAGACGATCAGCTCGCGGAGGTGGTTTCATGGAGGCAGCCTTGTCACTCTTCCGTCGCCTACTTGCACTACCAGGTCCAGCCAGAGCGCGCTGAGCGTCAACCTCATCACGGGCATCCTGAAGCATACGTTTCAGCTCGATCTTTTCGGTCTTTTCACGGTGGATGTTGTTCTTGAGTTGCTGGATCATACGGTGGGCGTGCTGGAGCGAGTGTTTGAGTGTTTCCGATTCGAGCATACCATGGCGTGGTGTGGCCTTGCTTGGAGAAGGTTCAGGTGAATGTTCTGGGGTACGAGATTGGAATCTCACACCACGATCATCGTCAGACGATCCCTCAGATCGACCACGATGTTCTGATCTTGCGCGGTAAGCAATAGCTTGAGCTAGCTCCTGGTTCTTGGACGTGAGCTCTTCGACCTTGCGTTGCATTGCACCTTTCTCCGTCTCTGTCATGGCTGCAACTCGCCGCAAACTAGAAAGCTCAGTCTCATGCTGCTTGGTTTTGTTGATGTGATCGTCATTGAGTTTCGTGTACATCTGCTTCAGATCTTCCAACTCCTTCTCCAAGGTTGATCTCTCAGTACGTGCTAGGTCCAGAGCATGGTTGAGACTTCGCTCCTTGTCTGCCGCTGACTTGAATTGTGTCTCCGACTCGCGGACCTGTGTCTCAAGGTTCCAGTTGACGTCTTTGAGCCGCGATTCGCTTTCGTCGAGTGTCCGTAAACGTTGCGACAAGCCTTCGACCTCAATTTCGAGCTGCGATCGATCCAGATCAGCCGCCTTGAGGGCTTCATCCTTCTCAAGGAGAACGGCCTGGAGGTCCTTCAACTGAGAAAGCAAAGACGTAGAGATTTCTGTAGCCAGCGCGATGTCATTGATGCGACTAGGCTGCTGGTTCCTCTGCTTTCGCGAAGGAACGCTCACTTTGGTCGGTGACTGGATCGCTTCGCTAGAGTAGATGGAGCCGCCAGTGGGATCAGTCTCGCCACTGGGGACGCGAGACTTGGGGAGAAAGGCGCGAGCCGTTTCCCGACCAACCTCGTTGAACTCCTTCTCTAGCTCAGCCAGCCTCTGGCGCAGCTCTGGGCCGATATCACTGTCTTGTTGTTGCTGATCAACCTCCTTCAGTTTGTCCTCTAGCTCCTTCCTCTGCTGGACAAGCGCGCTGCCCAGATGCGACGTCTCCTGTAGTCTGCGCGTTGTCTCTGCCAAGTGTGCCTCGAGGGCGCGCTTGGCCTGCTGGGGTGATCCATTAAGATAGAGAGAGAACTGCGAGTTGTCGAAGGCAGAGTATCGCTGCCGGTGGGCGTCGTGCGGCGCCGCGAGGAAGGGGTCGGAGCCATTGTGGTGCTCCACCGAGAGCGCGCCCGGTGGAGGATTTGCTGTAGCCATTAGTAGTCCCTAGGGTCGTTTCTTATTGTGTCATCTCCTGGAAAAGATTCCCCACTTGCACGTCGCTGTGCCTCGGAAATGGCGGTAGGAGATGGGCGGAGTTGGCGAAAGGCAGGATTAAGGAGCGGGAAACGTGCGCGGATTAGAGCGGCAGGTGGTGGCGGCGTGTCGGGGGAGTATTAGAGACAGGAGCGAGTAAAGGGTACACTCCGTCGGGCGGTGGGCGGAATGGAATAAGGGTTTGGATGAGAAGGACGCGTGGGAAAGCGACTGGGGACACGGCAGCGGCTGCTGGCACTCGGTCGCGTTTCCGTCACACTAGGGAAAAGAAGCAAAGGCGCATCACCAGGCTGAGCCTCGGGATGGCGAAGAAGGAAAAAGAAGGGAATGCCGAACGGGCTGGAGGGGCTACAGAGGCGACAGAGGAGGGATGACAGCAGCGCGGATGATGTTGTGCAGAAGAGCGAAATGAAGCGCACCGTGCGCGGCTTTTGACGCTTTCACGCTTTCGCCATCGACCCAGCGCGCACACCCATCACGCATCCACAACATCAACAAAGCTACAGATGCCCCTCGCTCCCCTCCATTGGTTCGCGCCGGCACTTGCTGCACGTCTAATCGCTAGACTATGCAGACGACGTGGTAGTGCAGCGGGCCCCCTCACTACTGCAGCTCTGCTAGGCCGAGGGGGGCTGTTTGTATGCGCGATTGGATCACCGCAACAAAGACGCGCATTGCATTACCCCACGACCACCATGTGCCATGTCAACATGGCTGCGTGGAAAGGGGTGACGCCATGTTCCTGGTAAACACAGTGAGACGTAACATCCATAGCAAACACCGCGAAACGCATGAAAAGAACATTTCGTTGGAAGAACGTGCTTAGTGTGTTTGCAAGGTTATCTGCTATTAGGTAGGGTCACACCATGTACAACAACACATAGAAGCCAACTATGCTCCCACCTGTAAATATCACTGTTTCTATCGCATGTTTGCAGGCGTCTTTCTGCATGCATCGTTATGCTCGCTAGTCCTGGATCCACAGGTGCAGGAATGCCGCAGCCTGCATATGAACTGGTATAAGACCGTACCTAAAGGATCTGCCATCAAGTCCCGAACACAACCTCCACAAAAAGCTCAAGTACCGGTCACAGACGTTTTACGTCTACGTAGGTTTGATTGCAGGGTTTAGCTTGCCAGTCCGTCCCTATCCGCTATCTACCTACTGTAGACAGTCCGGGACCTCCGAAGCCCTGCGCCACTACCCCAGATTGCATCACGTGAAACTGGATTTCTTAGCCACAGCTTGGCTCGAACTTTCTGCGGCTCACTCCTACAACACTACCTGATCTGCACCTCACCTCACACTCATTCACGCATATCCGACCATGGACGCGCCCGTCGTCAAGTTCAAGAAGCGAGGTGCCAAAGCTGCGCCCCGAAAAGTCGCTCCGCCACCGCCTCAATCCGACTCGGATTTCTCGTCAGGGTCAGACGCAGAGGGCGAAGATGGTCACGTAGTCAAGCGACGGAAGACTAACGGTAATGCGCTCAAGGCTTCCACCGCAGACCAAAAGGCGACCACAGCCGTCGAGGGCACAACACAGTACGCAGCGAATCGCTCGGCCGTGATAGAAGCAAGCAACGATGCGACCAAGCAATCAAACTGGTACGACGAGAACGCCGACGACGCTCTCAGCTCCAAAAACCTGCTCGGCAGCACGCGAACGAAGCCTCAGACCTTCATTGAAAAGAACCCCGACGCGCCCAGTCGCCAAGTAGGGCCTATGAAAGCATCGACAAACATACGAACAATTACCGTCACAGATTACACGCCGGATGTGTGTAAGGACTACAAGCAGACAGGGTTCTGTGGTTTTGGCGACAACTGCAAGTTCTTGCACGCGCGTGAAGATTATGCGGCAGGCTGGAAGCTGGACCGCGAATGGGAGATGTCGACCAAGGGCAAGAAACCAGGGGGTACAGTTGTCGCTTCTGCGAACAGGGACGAGAAGGAAAAGGATGAGGATGGGGTTGATCTCGCGCTGTTGGAGAAGATACCGTTCGCCTGTATCATCTGCAAGAAGCCATACAAGAATCCCATTATCACAAAATGCGGACACTACTTCTGCGAGGCTTGCGCCCTAAAAAGGTATCGGAAGGATCCTACATGTGCGGCGTGTAGTGCAAAGACATATGGCGTGTTTAATGGCGCGAAGAACCTCCAGAAGTTGTTGGAGAAGAAGCAGAAATGGGAGGACAAGAAGAAGGCAGAAGCGGAAGAGAAGGCAAAAGAAGAGGAAGGCGGCGATTGAGACTAGTAGGCAGCATTTGGTGTCGAGATATCAGGGAGGTGTTCAGCAACATATACAATGGCCGGTGATGGAAGCTGGAAATCTCTTTGCTTCGCTCCCCCGCGGCCATATCCGCTAGTCCTCATACATGCCTATGTTGTAGAGGCAATCGGGCACATTACGACGGAACACGGCACCACTCATAAGGCTCTCAATGTTGACTAGTAGATGTCCGCTTAGGACCATTCCAGCGCGACCTCCACAGCCACCTTCATACAGGTTAGCCGTTACCATCTCAAGAGTTGCTAGTCAGGTAGCTATATATGATAGGAAGAGGAGGCAGTTCGTATGCCTTGTAGAAAGATCGACGGCTTACACAACGCCGGAAGGAAGTACGGGAGCTGAGCAAAGGAATAGAAATGCATAATTTATTTCTATCAGTGTACATCAAGTCCATCCTATGCGTCAGCATTTCTCGCTCGAACCCAAAAAGCTCTATCTATTAAACTTGAAGTTCTTCTTCTTGACGTATCTACCACGTGCTTGTCGATTGCAGACGACATTACCGCCAACAAAACGAATTTCCGGTCACCCCAGCTCGCTAATGTCTCAACCTGGAATACACCAAGAAACCTTCAGTCTAATGTACCTAGGTAGACTAGTAAATTGAACAAGACGATTATATGTAATCGCAAATTACAAACTATGGAGAAGGCTAGAACAATCATGTGAACAACAACTAAACAGACGTCGTTTTCTGTTACGTATACCATACAAAGTCATGTTTGCGCGATCTTGAGAGGATTACCACTCTTCCAAGGTTATTTCTATATGCGGTTAGCGCCATGATCTTAGCGCATACCCGCTTTGCTCCCCTCGATTGGCATCTGGCTCATCTTCAGACCGCCAGCCTTTCGTCACTCGAAGCGCTACGGACTTCGTTTTTGCCTGTCGAATTGAACAAGGAGTATTTGCTCGGAGTCGTCAACGACGTTTGTGAGAAAATCATGTGTATTAGGTAAGGGTCTGGATCGGTGTACTTTCCGTCAGTGCTATGGCTTCAATATGTCGTGCACGGCTGCTATCAGACTTGAGTGCGCAAACAGTCTGTGACAGAGAAGCGACTTCATTGGATGGCAGACTCTGTGCATTCCACTCTCGACAGTGTCATGGTAAGCAAGCTTCGCTCTTCGCCTGTTAATGCTCACATTTGCAGCTCTGTACCTAGGTTACAAAGGGCGAAACGCTGTCCTCGATATACAGGAGTTGCCAGTGTACTTGGCTGGAAAGAAAGCTTCTATCGTTGTTCAAGACTTCAACGATGTCGACAGCGAAGCAACACTACGGGAGTTACACGACTATCTGTTCCGAAGGTACAACTTGCTTGATCGCGTAATTCGAGCACGCAAACTGCATCATAGTCATTTCTTTGCAGTTGATAACGACTATGGCCACGAAAAGTACCTGGACCGACTACAGAATGAGCGATACAACATGGTTAAAGCTCTCGAGAAACTTGGCAAACGTGCTGCGGAAGTCATGTACGAGCAGAAGCAGTGGTTTGGTTGGATTAAACAATGCCAGGAGAAAGAGGCGGAAGAGGCGGAAAGTGAGGGGAGGAAAGTGAAACTGGAATCATTACTCTTCAAACGGCACCAAAAAGAGATCGATCGTCATCAACGTGAAAGAAACTCCAAAGAGAACAAGAAGCGCCAAGAACAGTACCTGAATAAGATGTATGCCAAAAGCCTCGCGCAGATGTCAAAGGAAGAGCAAGAGGAATGGGATCCTATCCAAGATGTGTACGGCTATGAAAAGGATAATTACATTGAGCTCATCAAATTCTTTCTGATGCTCAACGTGCAGGAGCATGACGAGCTCCCTGTACAAGCGGAGCCATCCCAGCTTGACGGCCCAGCGAATTCAAAGCCTGCAGAGAAGGCGCTCTCCAAGAGCGCGAAGAAGAGAGCAAGAAAAGCTAACGCAGAGACAAAGAAGTTAGAAGATCCAACCACACAAGACGATGGGGGCAAGGGCTTCATCGAAATGGAGACTAAGGAGCAGATGCGTGAGAGACTACGGACGCCTGTTCGGTTTGAACGCGTAGCGAGCTACTATGTTCATGGCAGCGAGGGCGCTGTCGAGCCCAGGACGACTCCCATACTTCCTCACGATGAGATCGAGCAGCTATTGGTCGAGATCGGCGAAATTAAGAATCTCCTCTTCTGTAGACTTCTTTTAGCATCTAGCGCACTGCTACCCATTGCGATCCAGACCAACAACATAGAGGAATTTTTACAAAAGGACGATGTGACAAGAGAGCATTTACGAGATCTTTGTCTCAAGTTGGAGCGTCCTAGTCTTCAGGATGTGCGAGATGCATGTGCAGACTTCATACGCGAGAGGGATGGCGCTGATGAGCCTGAGGTACCAACAGACTCGGCTGAATACCCTTTCCATAACGATGTTACGGACGACATCATGCTACAAATGCATAACAACAGTGGTCAACGTTCTGTCCTCATGAACCAATACCGCACCAAACACGAAAGAGCGACAAAGAAGAAATCACAACAGCGGCCGCCCGAGTCGGAACAAAATGGCCTTGTAGACTTTGGTAACACTTCTGGTGAGAACACATTCACTCAGAAGCGAGTCAAGATCAGGGTTTGCGGTCGTGACATGTACAACTACCGTAGCGAGCAAGCTCTCAACCGCAGCGGCTGGTTCCACTTCTCCATCATCGCCAAAGACTCCAACCTCGCTGATGCCGTCGCCTTGTGTCGCAACTGGGACGAGTTCTTCGAGCTCAACATACTGACCACATATCACTATTTCCTGGCTCCAAAGTGGACAAGATTCACTGGGGATGCCCATCGTCAACAACTCGCGCTTGTTGGGTTCATACCTTACTTTCAAATCGATAATGCCGAGGCTAAAACAAAAAGATCTCAAACTGGCGGCCGTGGGATTGCAGGACGATCACACGAGATCAAAGAATCCCGCAATATCATTTGTGGCGTAAGTTTCTCTGTAAAAACTGCATGAAAGACCTACACTGACTTCGTACACCCATTGCCCAGTACATCAAGCGTAACGATGTCTTCAATCGTCGCTTCATTCAGTACCTGACTATGGAGTCAGGTGAACTACGTGCTTTGATTCGCGATCCAGTAACTGGTTATGTCATAGTGCAGCCACCCGAACAGGAACTCTGGCTAAGCCGTGAGAAGACTGGGATTGGTAGAGCTAGCAAACGCGAATACAATATAACTAGCGAAGTCGGACCTGCCTTTATCGAAAAGGTCGAAGCTAGGAGGTCATGGCAGGTCAATTTCGATGATTACTACGATGTTTACATTTGGGATGCGGCACCCGGTGGAGGCGCTTACGAGCTGCAGCAGAAGATTGAAGAGGTATTCCATGCACAGCTATGTCTATCTGTGGATAGCTAACGAAACTAGGTGTTTGCGCATGCCCTTCAGTTTCGGACAGCCAAAGACATGTTAACCCGGGTTCGCCACATCTTCCAAACTGTGACAGAAGAAGATGATACCGGGCGTATTCGCAGCGTTCATCCAGGGGAGAAGGTACAGACTATGGCTGATGTCCTCGACAAGAATGCGGAGATTGCTAGCAACCAGTCCCTTCCCGAAACACAGAAAGCAGTAGATGACATGGTTAAATTGCGATACGAGTTCACAGAGGCGGATGAAGTAGAGGACGCTATCCTGTTTCCGAAAGACGCGGAAAGCGACATACCCAACCGGTCTCCCCGTTATAAGACCGCCATAGAGAAATTCCAGATGGGAAAGCTCAGAGCCTGGAAGATCAGTTACGATCTCAGTACTGATGAGGAATCATCGGGTTCCGATTCTGATTCTAATCCTGATTCTGAATCTGAATCTGAGTCTGAATCGAACGAAAACGAAGACGAAGACGACGCCAGTATGGAAGAGAATGCACAATTACAAACGGACTTGAGTCCCAGGCGCGCTCCAGGTCGAGCTTTGAAAGGAGATTTTCATAAACACTTGTTCGAGGCAGATCAACAAGCACACAAGCAAAGATCTGGTCCTTTGGTCCCACAATATGAGTGGGTGGCTAAGACAAAAGACCCACACTATTTCTTACCTCTAGTACACGATTCCGAGCATGCACGCATGGTAACGGCCGGACTCGAGGTTCCTCCTGCAGATTTCATGTATACGCTAAGGACTGCTCTTCGCCGTCAGCGAGTATATCTTAACAAGGCGTATGATGTTGGGGAGATGATTGAAAGTCATTCCCAACGGTCAAGTGATAGAGGTAGCTTAATCGTCTCCGGTGTTGACAGTAACTGACGATTGCATTTTAGTCGCGAAGGAGTGTTGTCATCTGGGGGACTTGGAACCTGGCGGTCTTAGCAGGTATAACGAGTACCAGTCTATGGTAGCGTCCATGGACGATTTCGTCATGAGCGCTATCAACCCAGGTCCGTTCGAGCTCTGCAAGTTTATGGGGATGGCACCTCTCTTCCGCAAAGAACGTCGAAACGTTGACGATGCTTTCCAAGCCTATGCTGCCATCGCCATGTTCTATGAAACAAAAGACTTTGTCGCTTCTGAATATGGCACACCATTCAGGTCGTCCCTACTATTTGACCAAGAAGAAAGAGCCAAGCGGATTCCAGACCGGAGAACGCATCATAGCAACATGTATATGCCAGCGAAGCTTTGGGCCGATCGGGACAAGCTTCTGAAAGACAACAATCGAGGGGCTCTTGAGTTTGTAGAGGACATTTACCCAATGGAATGGCGCAAAGCGATACGTTCCGTGATCATTCCTTTGTTCAAAGCGGGCGTCATTCGACTTTCGTATCACCCGCGGGTCAGTGGTGTTGTAACAGCCGCGGCCGAACCCGGCCGCCCGCTCGACCTCTACATTGATTGCCGGCACCAGAACCATTCAACGAAAATGATCGGGGAAATGGTAGACCCGACACCCTTGGACCGCGATTACATGGTCAAGACGGCAAAACAATTTCGAGCTCAACACGCTTCAGCAAGGTTTTCAGCGCTGCGTATGTGGTCTGCTCCGCACTTCTACCCAATGAACGCCAGGGAGGGAGACAGGTTCTTGGACGACAGAGGCAGATTCTGGGAATGGAAGTACATTCCCAAGGATATGCCAATGAGCGAATGGAGCATACACAAATCAATGACTATGACGCTGGGTCATTACGAAGACATCTGGAAAGGTCAAGTGGTAGTTGCCCGAGATCTGTTCCTGGTGATGGGTAAGAATGCAGACGATTGTCGGAGATTAAGTGAAGGTGTCACGTGGGCCGTCCAGAAGAAGCCCAGCCGGTGCGAGATAGACTTTTGGCGAAGCTTTGTTAATGTGGATGCCGACTTCTTGGAAGGATTGCATCCTACATGGCTTTCGTAGCGAAGTGTGGAGGCCTTGGGAGATTGTTGTGGGGGCTGTGGTGGCTGTGGTAGGCTAGAGAGCAAGCTCAGCAGCGTGGGCACGTGTCGAGGGTGAGACGCAGACGTTGGATTAGCCTATGTCTGCTTATATACTTGTTTGGGTCCCACAGCATGTCAACTGCAGGATCGCGGGCTGCTTGGCGGCTGACCGATGACGAGCAGTTCGAGGGAGCGATGGTGGTGTGGTGGCAGTTGCAGCAGAAGCAGGCGTGGACGCGTGGTGTGGCAGTAGGGCGGCTGGTGGTGGGATAGCAGGTCGACGCGAACCCTTCTAGAACCGTTGATCTCTGCAACGCCTGAGAAGCCCCCACCGCGGCCTGGCCGAGTTAGGCAAGGCGTGTATCCGAAGAGCAGCCGGATAGAAACCGTCAGATCACAACCTTGAGCGTGCCCCTCTGACCAGCGGAGGCAGAGATTTTGCAATCACCGTCCTGACGCCTCTCGAGCACGCGATTGTGCTTGCCGCGCCCGTTGCCCGCGTGAGAAGCTGCAAAGGCTGCAGTTGCAGTCTCGTTGGCTCGGTGAGATTGACTCTGGTACAGCGCAGCGCGGAAGCCACAGCAAAGCCGTCCTGTGACCTCGACGCCGGCCAATCGCCCGTCAGCCTCCGAATGCGTCACTCCCCGATACCAGGTACGCGACGGGCAATCCGACCATCGCAGCCTGTGCTGCATATAACCGCCCGCCATGAGTGCGACGACTGACGCTGCTCAGGTGCCGCCAAGTATCTTTTTCCGCCATATATAACCACCTGAAGGCCGCAGAGGCCTGCTCCGGCCCTCGCCCAAAGCGGAATCATCCGGCCGATCAGAAGACTCACATTCCAGCGCAGTCCATGCTTCTTCACGCCGACCCGAGCCTGGCCGAGGTCCCAGGCTTCAGAAAAGAGCAATTGGACGCCTTGGCCCGCAGCGTCGAGCTGAGGAGGCAGCAGCTCGAGGACGACATCAACGACTACATAAAGGCCAAGCAGGACGAGCTGCGCAGATATGGCGACGAGGTAGGATTCTGCGCCCGCTGCATCGACTCTTGTGCGAGACTGATTTGGGCCTAGCTTGTAGACCGGTACCGCTCAATGGCATGCGACCAGCAATCCGCCTCTGCAGAACAAACCATTACCAGTAATGCTCAAAGCATTGCGTCACCGCTCGACCCAGAGCCCGAAGAGAGGATCAAGCAGAAGAAGCACACCAGAGTCCACAAGCGGGAGAAGGAGCTCTATGGCCTAGTTACGCCTGTCTTCCTTCCCTTGCTCGACGCACGCGACACGTCGCCGGAAAAGAAGAAGAAGAAGCCCAAGACTGAAGTCGCGCACGGCGCAAACACCACGCCCAAATCAGCCCAGCCAGGAGCGTCAAGAGATGCTGAGCAGAGCAAAGACGGCCGGAAGTCTAGCAAGGACAATACGAACATGGAATGCGCTGCCCCGGAGGAGCCAGCCAAGGAGAATCACCCAGCCGAGACAGTCAAAAAGGCCAAGCGCACCACCATGAAGAAGTCTGCGCTGCGACACAAGGACAAGCCTCGATCGCAGCGGAAGCGAGTCAGTCTGGTCATTGACGGCCAAACCGTCCTGCCCGCAGATACCGTCGAGGAACCACCCCTCACATCGCCCAGCAGCGAAGCAACGTCCGCCTCAAACTCAACGGCATCGCTCGACGACATGATAGATCCGCGACTCACCACCCCAGAGCCACCAGTCTACCTCGAACACCGCGACGCCGTACATCACAGCCTGCCCCTTCCCATGACCAACGCTATCAACTCGGCTGCAAAACCCCTGTCCGAAGCACCAAATACCATATCCATTGCCGCCGAACACTCTCCACCGCTCACCTCCCCACGCTCCCCCAGCATACCTTTCGGCTCTGCCCAAACCGCAACGCGCACGTTTCTCGACCCGTCCCCCTCACTCCCTTTACAAGCCGTGCATTCTATCCCCGAAACTGCTGGTCCAGATCCTATCTATTCGACCGCCGCCGCTACAAGCGCCGAACTTGAAATCGACGACCTCGCAGACGACGACACCAACTTCGATACCTACGTCGGCGGGTTACATGGTAGTGGTGTAGATGACGTGGACCAGGCGGGGAGCTATGGCTACCCCAGTAGTCTGGGCGCCAGCTACATGGAGAGCTATATGCAGAATCGGCCATTGAGCGTGAGGATGCAGGCTGCGAATAAAGCAGGGTTGGGTGAAGAAGAAAAGAGGAAGTTGCTCGAGGAGAAAGATGAAGACGAGGCTGCAGAAGATGACGACTTGGATGATGATTTCAAGCATAGTGGGAGTTTGAGGAACAACAAGGCGGTGGATACGGGTGATGATAACTTCATGGGAGATATGGATGATTTTTGAGATTCGTTATGGGTCAGGGAATTGAAATTGGAGTTGGATACTGGATCATCGACTCCAAATCGCTCTCAATGAGTCATCTTGGATATAGATGATCACTGGAGCAGAGACGCTGGGCATGGCGGAAGCTTTCAGGCTCATTACGCTACAACGACGATTAGACCACGACTACTCGATGTGCACGAGCAATCAAATTCGCATATGAACATTGATCATATGTCAGAAATTTGTAGGTCTACAGAGACTCAGCACATCACGACGACAATAGGACGAACGATCAGACACGTTTCGACCGAGCTTTGGATACCGCATACAGGAATGCTTATAGCTTTCTTTTGTTAAGAAACTCTGTATATATGGGCGGCCTTTTTTTCTCTTATCATTACGCGGTTCTGGATTATTAGATACTGAAGATTTCTTGTATATCATGCCACATGACCTTCAAATATTAAACCTCGACCCGACCCAACTCACATTCTCCTCTATTGAATGGTAATCGTACATGTCAGTCTCTTTGGCTAACCTGCTGAACGCGATTCACTACCCGATCCAGCAGACTCACCATTTCGTCGCTCACGAATCTGGGGTCGTCCTGCTGGATAAAGTGGCCACACCGGACAGCTGTTATGGGACCGATAGCCTTGCCTTCATCTGTGATTTGGCAGAGACCTTCATTGTAGCGGCGCCAAGCGGGGTTGGCATAGGTCATAGTGAGCACCTTTGGAGTCTTCATTGTGCCCGTGTCTATTTGCCGAGTTAGTCTCTGAAGTCCAAGAGTCGACTTGGAAAGAGACATGTACGTACACGACTGCTCAGCAAAGGTCTCCCAGTCATGACCCACAACTGTGAGATACGGACCTCTGCCCAGATAGCCTTCGAGCTTCGGTGCATCCGCGTACGGTAATAATTGCGGGAGATTTCTTCTTGATAAGCCCTCTTGACTGGGGACATCGGGATGGAACATTCTTCTATATTTTTCTCTTGTCGAGCGTACTTCATCCTCAGTTACGCCTTCGGGTAGTGTGTGTGGATTGAAGTCTGGCGCATCTGGGTTCGGCCATATATCTTGATAGTCTGAGTTGGCCATGATGCTGTCTAGAAACAATAAGCCAGACACAGTCCCTGGGTAGCACTGGGCGAAAAGTCTTGCGAGTGCGCATCCGATGCTGTTGCAGACGAAGATGAGACATGGATAGTGGGTAGGTTTATTGATGTCAAGGTGATCCCTCCATATTTGAAGTGTGAATTGCTTGAGTGCTTTGACTGCAGATATTGCGTCATGTCCGTGCGATGGTGGTGGATGCTCGTCGTCTGGATCGGGATCTGAGTCTCCTTGGCCGTATCTATCGTAACTCAATAGAGCAGGATACGGTAGACGTCCAGCTATCCGTTTCTCTAAGAAACTGCGCATTGCCGGATCCCACGAACTTCTTGGCATCATGAGTCCGTTTAGGAAGACGATCAGCGTTTGTGAGAATGGGTTTGGGTGACCCCCGTGGGGCTTGGATGCAGGGTAGTACGTGTAGTGTATTTGGGCACCAGGCTTGTTGTCGAGCGCCAGTGAAGACACCTCGGCGTCGGGAAAGGGTGGTGTGTCATCTTCAGATGAGTTCATGCTTCCAGGAAATGGAATCGCATAGCTGCGATTGTTCATGGATTCATGTTTCCTGGCCGCCTTGGTAGGGTCTGTCTGCGCCGACTTGGTACGTGGAGAATTAGCCTTGTTCATGGTGACGGGCTTCTCCTTTGCTGGCAGACCCTCTCTTTCTTGCTTGGTCAGGCCCGAATATTTGAGTTGTGGAGAGATATAGGGAAAGGCTTCCATGATCTGGCGCAGTGGGGACCTTTGTTAGACAGGCAGCGGTTACTAGTCTTCCAGATTGAGAAGGGGCGATCTGCAATCTGGAGCGGAAGACGTCGGAATGGGGTATGTTGGGGGAATGAAGAGGGCTAGAAGATTCAGGAACGTATATGCAGCTTATGCGTCCTTGAAGGTTAATTCGAGTGTGTACTCGAAGCTGCGAGCGCGTTACCCCTCTTCACAACCAAGGCGGGAGAGGATGGCAGGTGCTAGGTCTCGACCGGAACCAGGCCTATGCTGCCAATGAGCTCTCACGTGTGTAGGCGTATTGCACGCCGCCAAGGGCAGCGATGTTCAAAGTGGTTACCAGGTCGACGGAAATGGAGAGCACGCGGTGTTTCTCGAGATAATGATGTCGCGAGATGACGCCGGTCAGGGCCAGGCGCTTCATGGCGGCCAAGAGGGGCTTCTCATCATGACACGCCGATCCACACCCCAAGCGCGACGGCGGGTGGCTTGAAGGATTCTGCAGGCCTAATGAAGCGTGAAACCAGAAGCGAGGGCAGCAACATCAAGAAAACAAAAAACATAGCGTCTAGCTGGACTGTGCAGTCGGGAATGATGGCGCTGGGGGGATGTGTGGCCGGGGATGATGGTGGGGGCGGACGTGGGCAGCCAGGAACCCTCGTGGCTCCGCGGCTATGACGTGTGACGTGTTTGTGGTGATGCAGGTCGCTGCTTCGCTTTCACCGCACCCGCGTTCTGCGTTGTTTGTGCACTTGTATCCACCCGCTAGACTCGTGCCCTTCATATGAGAGCAACTTACCCGCGCCGCCTTTGCCAGTCCCTCTCTCTCCCCCACCGCAGTCTTACGTCCTCGACTCCCACACACGCATTGCATTGACCGTCGCCGCCCGGTGTCCTTCGCTGTAGCATCCTACTCCCCCGGCATACATTCACCACGCGACACTCTGCCCTCGATCCCGAAGCCACGGCGCACTTTGTCTTCCCGCAGCCTGCATTAGGTGCGTGTGCTGCCTCTAGAAGGCGTAGAAGTCGACTAACCGCCTTCTAGCGTTGATGCAACTTCATGATGCCATACGCCGACGCTGAGACGCAGACTGTCTGGGCTGGCCTCACCAGGATGGATGTTCGTCCTGACATCCTCTTCACTGCCCCCGACACGACTACTCCGCCCGCCGACACGACTACTCCGCCCGCCGAGATGATAACAGACAAGCTGCAGGGCCTGGACAATGTCATCACCGGCGCCCAGCTGGGTACCCTCGATCCCAACAGCTCCTCGTTCCAGACCCTGCTTGCGAGGCGACACAAGCGCCCTGACATGCCCACGCGCATCTCCCTGCCCACGTCCGATCTTGACGACGAAGTCTTCCCATCCCCTCCTCCGACCCATGCTCTGCTCTCCCCGCTACCCGAAGCCAATAAGCGCTTCGCCGGTCACACCCCGTTGATTCCACGCGCCCTGTCTCCGGTCCAGGACGAGCAACCCACGGTTCAAGAGCCGCCTGCTCACGAGGAAGAAGCACGGTTCGGTACACCACCAGAAGATCAGCCCTTGATAGGTCCGCTCATGCTACCGACCAATCCCGTCGATGGCGCTAGTGACCACATAGCACTGGACGTGCTCGATGATGTGCTCGAGAAGGTTGCCAAGGACCAGGACAGGTTCAGCAAACTAAAAGATGCCCCCGAACCCGCCGCTCCCCCGGCCACCGCAGACAATGCTGAAGAAGGCTTGCCACTGAGTCGCAAGGGATCTGCCGAATCTCGCAATTCATGCGCCACCGAAGTCGACGGAGTCAGGCTCAAGAGTCCTCCGCTCAATTTTGGAGTACCCATTGGACAAGTATAGACTACGTCGCAATCACAGTCCCGAAAAGGGAGTTCTTCAGAGCCCGGGGCAACTGCCCCGTCACCTCATAAGAGCAGCCTGGCTCAGACTCCGAGGGACATTTCCCCAGAGTTTGGCTTCATCTAGTGCATTCAAAGGGCGTTTTAGAACGGATTGGGTTGGATCATGACATGGCGTTTGAATTTCACCAAAGACATTACATCACCCGGGAGCGATACCCAATGACATGCACTCGTGCAGTGCATCGTGGTATTCACCGCAGGCCATAGACTACCGGCCTAGCGTCAAAAATAGAAGAATACCATTACAATCTCTTACCAACGCGTGCTTTCATGTCTCGTTAAGCATCAAACTACTTAATCACTTCTTCCCCACAAACCTATCTTTATCCTCCAGGATTCCCCGTGCCATCTCCAATTGCTCGTCTGTCTGGACGACCAACGTTTTGTACCTCGCATCCCCGGCACTAATGTCGGTAACCACATCCTCAACCTGCTTCGCATTCTTGTCTTCATCAATCTTGAAACCCAAACACCTAACTCCTTGGACGACAGCCTGTCTCAGCTTTCCTCCCTTTTCACCAATACCCCCCGCGAAAACAAGAGCATCGACCTCACCATCCAACTTGGTAAAGTAGGGAGCCACATAATTCAGAATACGGTCGACGAAGATGTCAAACGCCAATTTATCCTCCTTTCTCTCGGAAGAGCTGATTTGCCCAAAATCAGTAGTCCCGGTCAGACTCTTCCAGCCACTATTCTTGTTCAAGATCTCTTCAGCCTGCGTAATGTGCAGTTTCTCGCTAGAACTATGCGAGGGTTTTTCTGCGCTGTGTGTATAGTGGAACATGAGAGATGGATCGATGGAGCCAGAGCGTGTGGCACCTGGTAAACCTGCGAGGGGGGTTAGACCCATGGTCGTATCGAGCGACTTGCCGCCCTTGATACAGCATGCGGAAGCGCCGGAGCCTAGATGTAGAGCGATGATATTGATCTGATCGAGCGGCTTGTTCAGGTGCTTTGATACGGCGTTTGCGATGAACGAGTAGCTTATGCCATGGAAACCGTATTTGCGCAGTTTGTTTTTCTGTGCGACCGTTTGGTCGATTGGGTAGGTGCATATATACTCTGGCAGTGTGTTGTGGTACGAGGAGTCGAAATAAGCGATGTTCTTTGCGTGTGGCAGGATGTCTGCTACGGCTCGAACGATGGTGAGCGCAGGCGCGTTGTGTAGGGGGGCTAGATCCGAAAGCTCTTCTATGTGGTGGTATGTTTCCTTATCGATGACCTGGCTTCTGGGGTAGTCACCGCCATGAACGACGCGATGGCACGTGAAGCGGATGTCTTCTTTGTGGTTGAGTTCAGGAAGGCCTTCATCGTTGGTCAGGTGATCTAGGATGTAGCGGAATCCGTCTTCTTGTGAGGTAACATTCTCTAGCTCCTTTCCCTTGATCTTTTCGTCTCCACGCTCATACTTGAGCTTTGCAGGCGGCGCAGTTAGGCCTTCGACAGTTGCTTCAGCAAGTTGTTTCGGTACCGAGGCACCATCCTCCGGGGTTTTGTAGACGGAGATCTTAACGCTAGAGGATCCTGCGTTGATCGAGAGGATGATCTCAGGCATGGTTGCGACTCGTAAGGGTGGTTGTCGGGGGATCTGGCCAAGATATCTTTGCTCTGATGGATGCTAAATGTACCAACTCAAGCTTCAATGCTTGTCCGGATGTCCAGCCCAGCTAGGTAGTTTCGATGTGGAGTAACAATGACGTCGTCAGAAACCTGACGGGAAGCTTGAGAAGTAACAACCCTTTGGAACAGATTCGGGGGTACAAAGTGGTTACTGTGGTCAGTTTATTGTGCTAAATATATATGCTCAATAGATGTCATGAGTTTCAGCTTCCACGTGTAGGTAACATCAAGCTCGAACGATCGGAAGTCGCGGAGCTCCAGACCCAACATTTTCTTTTCTTCGTTGAAACTTGCACATCTACGTCCTCGTCATGCATACGTTAGTCTTCTGTTAGCCTCCTCTGATAGGTCAACATCCTGTCACGGCTTCCCGTGACTGCGTGTGTGTATCTCGCGATGTGCCAGTATGCGAGCTCAAGTGAACAGATGATATGACGTCACTGTCATCGACCCTCCCGAGATCCCAGCCTATGTCAACATCTCTCAACATCTCTAGCCTAGCTATAGAGTATTTTTGGTGGCTGAAGAAGCCAAAACATATGCTCGTATATTAATTGGGCTTTAATTTCTGGGGGGCAAACATATGATTGACGCTCCTGAGGCTAGCTTGACACAAACATCGCAGGCATACTTTCTAGAAGTAATCTCAAATGCTACACTCACAGCCATCATGTCAAACGCACCAAACAAGCAGAGAGTATGTTGGATATGCTTTCGATTGGGTCTAAAGTCTCTGGCACAACCCCGCATCCTCTATGTGCCTCCCAACTGCGGGGAAGCTTAAAATGACCTACAAATCGCATATATGAACAGCATGCTAATCTTGCACCTACATACGCTCCTATTCTCTCACAGTCAACTAATAATCATAAAGAAGAGCTACACAGGGATATGGGTGATCAGCCCAAGACGGCATACATAACAGGTACTCCATGCTGCTCCACCTTAAATCTAACAGATCTTAACCAACGTTCACAGGTGGCGCAAGTGGCATAGGTCTTGCCCTATCAACCCACCTCCTATCCAAAAACTACAAAGTGTTCATAGCCGACCGCAACACGGCTGGCGCTACACACCTCGCCGACCAGCACAACACGCCCAACAACACCGTCCTCTACTATGCTACCTGCGACACGTCAAGTTGGGAATCTCAGCTCTCTGTCTTTCAAGCCGCACTCAAAGCTCTCGGTGGACGCATCTCCTGTATATTCCCTATTGCAGGCATTGGCGAGAAGAAATGGCTTCCCTTTCCTTCTGAGAGCTGCAAGCAGCCCACCGATTCATTTACGAAACCCGATCTCTCAGTTATCGACGTAGATCTCACTGGTGTTCTCTATACTATCGCGTTAGCGATACAGCATTTCCGACGTCAGGATCTTGTTGTTTGGGGGGATAGGGGATCTGAAGACTCGTATCTCCTGCGCGGCACAATTGGTCTGGTAGCAAGTGTATGTGGGTTTTACTGTGTACCCAGTCTACCCATATATACAGCAGCAAAACACGCTTTGATCGGCTTAACGCGATCTTACGGCGCATTGCTCTGGGAAGAGGGTATCGCTGTCAATGCCGTGGCGCCGAATGTTGTCAGGACGGGGATTAGTGCGGAGGAATTCTATCATAGTCTGGAGAAGGAGAGTTTGTTAACACCGATGGATGTGTTGATGGAAGCTTTTGATGTCATGTTGGCGAGAGCAAAGAGTGCAGTAGTGTATGAATGTGGTGCGAAGGGTTGGACAGTGAGGGAAGGTGCAGAATATTTGGATGAGGAGAGTGGGAGATGTTGTGACTTGCTCAAGGAAAGAGGAAGGAAATTGCATTATGGGTTGGAGTAACGAAGCAATCCTGTATTTTTGGAGTCTTCTTTGCCTCTTACCATATTCTCTCATACACTTCAATTGCGCTTTGTTCCATGTCTACGAACTCGCTTTTCCCGCTGCCCGTCATAGCATGATAGTATGCTGAGAAATACAACTAACATAGCGAGGCAAGGCACCATGATAGAGTGGACAAGGAGTTCTGCGTAAGTGTATTGTCGCATCGTCGTGCTGTGTGCGGATGAAGCGTTGGGTGAATTCAATCTGTTTGTTGGAAGTCACGTAATTTTGAGGTTGTGGGACTTAGATGAGGGCGTATCAAAGCTACATAGGCCGGGGGAAAGCATCAAGTGTGAAGAGGCAGTCACTGATCATCGCTCCCCATCATGCAAATGAAGTGTAGACGCACGCTACAGCAAACATCGTCACGAGCCAATGTGATTCCTACACACCGTCATTCAAAGAATCTTGACAATGACTTTTAACAATTTCTCATTCCTCTATCTCGTCCCAGAGAGCCCGAACCTCGTACAAACCGACAGGCACGTTCGCTCATCTTTTATCTATACATGCCTCAATACTTTCCATGTCCGTGTTCGCAACCAGTAATAAACATCAAAATGAGCCAGCCCATGACAGAGTTCCGCAGCCTGCGACCCAAGAGAGACCAGAGAAAACAATGCTGTCGTGTACCGAGATGTTTGTGAACCGAAAGACCGCACCCCGGAAGAAAACAATAGGGAAATTAAACTCCAAGATGATGCGATAACATGCATGTCGCGCGTAGCAAAACAATAACGCCGACCAAGTGAAAGAAACACAAAGCGCTCTGCGCGAGCGCGTGATTCGCGCCGCCGAGTGTAACAGCAGAGTCAACGACATATTGTCGGTGTGTGTGACGTCCGACGGGTGATTTCCCTTCTTTTTCTCTCTTTTCAGTGGCATCTCACCGTTTCTGTCTCGTGATGGCATCGTATGAATTGGCCTGCCCCACCAGTTGGAATCCGGCGTGCAAATGGGCCCCAGGCTGCTCAACTTCAAAATGCAATTTTGTGACGTGTCTCCGCTATTCAAAAGCGAACCAAGCGAGCGACCGAATAGCGATCTCTGTAGTTTTCAAATCGACGGCAACGACAAATATCTAGCCACCCTTGCGATCAGCGGCATTGACGGGCAATGGCTCACCCATTGACTTCTGGTCTGGAGCTCTCGGCTTCTTGTTCTTCCCCTTCTTACGAGGAGGCTGCTGTTGCCAAGAATTGGGACTACTGCCTGTCGCGCTCGGCTTGTTCGTCCTCTCATTGTTCGTGTTGTTCTTTTGCTGTTGACCATTACGATTTTCTTTGGCGTTACCATTCGATCCACCTGTAAGCGATGCGCGACGATGTTGTTGGTTGCTTGGCTTCACCTGCGACTTGTGACTATTGTTACCATTGACGAGCTTGTTAAGATCTGCAGATCTGCCGGCAGTAGGCGAAGGCGTGCGCGTCTCGAACACAGGCGATAGCAGTGGAATTGTCGCAGATTTGACCTCTTGAGGATGTGCTCGCTGCACATTTGAAGTTTCCAGAGGAGGTAGGCCGTTATTGTACGCTGGTGCGCCCCACTGATGGGGAACCGAGCGAGTTGGTGAAATGTCATCGCTTCGGTCGCTTTGGTGACCGTTAGTGGCATCGTAGTTTACCCAGCCATCCCCGAATGTAGGAAATGCTTGCTGGCCCTCGCTTGGCACGCGCGTCAAGCCATTTGTCTCCACTGGTAGGGCACCGTTCATTGAGCCATTCACAATGGGGGGACCCATGTTTTGCACTGCTTTTTGTCTTTCCATCTCCTGAAGAACCAACTGCTGCCGCGCTTGAAGCTGCTGGATCTGATGGATAGCCTGATCATTGGCGTATGCCCCAAGTGAAACTTGAGGTGGCATCTCTTGCGGTACAATCTCTACCGTATCACTTCTAGGACGAGGTTGGCTTGGAAACGAGCCATTAACAATGACTGGACCGTTGTCGACAGGTGGACGGACAGAGTCAATGCGTGACTTGCGCTGTTCAGTAGGTGGCACATCATTCGGCTGAGTAACACTTGTAGAGTAACTACGCATATGCCCAAGTGGCGAAGGAGATCGCGTCACTCGTCGTAAAGCAGTGTTCAGAAGAGGCTGGGTGATCTCTGGCGAGACGCGTCGACGACGCTGAGCCAGTTCGCTAAAGGATGGAATCGATCCAACAGCGTATTCTTGTAGCGGGCGTGCCTGCGGTTGTTCTGCGACGTAGTAGCCAACATATTCCTTGGGCGAACTGTTGTCAGAAGATAGACCCGACTCTGGCTGGGACGTGTTGGGCTTCACCGGGATGTCCGACGTCATCTGTGGTCGCAAAGAATCTTTCGATGATCGTGCGATTGGATAACCAGCAAATTGTGCAGGATCAACGAGGTGAGGTACAGGTGGGTATCCCACAATGACAGGCTGTTGTCCCGCACTGCGAGGAGGCTGTGAGTGCGAACGAAGAGAGCTTGTTTCGCTTGCATTGGATGCGCGATGCACTCCATGTACGCCGGGTATACTACTGCTCAAAGAAGGAGACGAAGGGTTGGTTCGTGATCCATCTTGTGAGCCGTTGGGATCAGACTGAGGCGAAGTGAAGAAGCCAGGGTAGTGATATAGAAAGCCCTGAGGAAGCGAGTTTGGAGGTATTCCACGTTCAGCCAAACGAGGGCTCTGTCGACCGTTGATGTATGGCGACTTTTGCGGCGACCCATTTGTACTGTTAGACGCTCTACCTTGCGCCTGTGCCTGGGCAACGGCGTGGGCATGCATCTGCGCGGCCCGTACTTGATGTGCTTGCTGAGCGTGTTGTTGAGCAGCCAACTGCGCACGTAGAGAGTTCGACTGCATCTCCAGCATTTGGTATTGCTGATACAGCTGGTCGTGTAGCTGATCGTGGATGCCTCTTGGGAAGCTGAAATACTCCGGGCCAGCGCTCGCTGGGATCGGCGGGCTATGTAGGAAGGGTGGTCGACCCTGACCGTAGTTGGAGCTACCGGAAGATCGCCTGCTACCTCCATGCTGACCCTTCAGGTTAAAGCCTCCTCTGCCTCCACGCGTATTCGGACCTCCTCG